TACTGTCGCTGATCCCGGCGAAATTTTATTACGGCGAAGATGGCAGTGTATGTGACTTGTCCAATCTTTTCTTGCTGCAAAATTTCCTGCTGCCCTTCCTTTTCTCCCTTTGTCTCATCTAGCGTCGCGCTTAAGACACAGCTGACCAGTGGTTCCTGGAATAGGATCAATGGCAGCGCAAGAAGCAGACTAAGGAGCAGGCCCGTGAAGCCAAGCGGGCGAAGTTGGACCCCGATTCCGCCAAGTCAGCCAAGGATGTGATGGACGAGAATGCACGCAAGCGTAAACGTGACGAGGAAGGGAATGAGGAAGGAGACGACTCTTCTGACAACGGTGAACTCGGCTCCGAGAAGCCCAAGGAAGGGTTGAAGAGAGGAGATGCCAACTCAAAGAAGCAAAAGCAGGCTGAAGACTCGGCCGATGCGGAGCGCACATCCGCCAAGTCGGCTGAAGAGGCAGAAGCGCGCAAGAAGTTGAAGGAGGAAAAGAAGGCCCAGAAGAAAGCTGCCCAGAAGGAGAAGAAGAAGGCCAAGGAAGCCGCTAGGAAGGTCAAGGTAGCCGAGCAGCCCGAAGAGACCGAAACACCTGCTGTGCAAAAATCCGAGTCGACCCCCGCCAACAAGACCAAGGAACAAAAACAAGAACAAGAGGACAGCGATAGTGATGACAGCGAAATTGCGGATGGCGTCCCCGCCGAAGGTCTCTCGCTCGAGTTTAACGCCGAACAAGAAGAACAACCATCCTCTTCTGCGTCCACCCCCAACTCCCCTGGTTTCGATGCTTCCAATCCCCAATCGGGCAGCTCTTCCATATCCTCCATTGTTCCCTCCACCGAAGCCTCCAAATCCTCCACCTCCGAACCTAAGCCTCTCAAGCCTACCCCCGATGAGCTCAAGCAACGGTTACAGAAGCGGCTCGATGAACTTCGCGCAGCCCGCCATGCCGATGGGCTCAACGGAAAGCCCGCTAGAAACCGTCAAGAGCTAATCGAAGCTCGCCGCCAAAAAGCCGAGCAACGCAAAGCGCACAAGAAGGAGCTGCGCCAAAAGGCTAGAGAAGAGGAGCAACGGCTGAAGGATGAAGCCATGGCTCGCCGCTTTTCTCCTGGTGGCTCGGGATCCCTCCTCGCCTCCCCGCGCTCCCCGGCTGATTCCGTCGGCTCGAACAACAACTACGCTTTTGGCCGCGTCGTCTTCGCAGATGGCCAACACGCCGACCCCACTCTTTCCGGAGTCCGGGAACAACCTAAGAGCCACGGTCCTAAAGACCCTGCCGCAGCCCTGAAGGCTGTTGAAGCGAAGAAGGCCAAGCTCGCCGCTATGGACGAGCAGAAGCGGGCTGACATCGAAGAGAAGGACCTGTGGCTTAACGCGAAGAAGCGGGCACATGGCGAACGGGTCCGTGACGACACATCGTTGCTGAAGAAGGCGCTCAAGCGCAAGGAATCGGCGAAGAAGAAGTCCGAGCGCGAATGGAAGGAGCGTCTGGAAGCCGTGAAGAAGGGCAAGGACATGAAGCAGCAGAAGCGTGAAGAGAACCTCCGGAAGCGCCGAGAGGAGAAGGGCAACAAGGGAGGCGGCAAGAAGAAGCAGGCCGGAGGAGGTAAGAAGAAGTCCAGACCGGGCTTTGAGGGCAGCTTCAAGGCCAAGTCTGGAGGCAAGAAATAAGCAAACATTGTGCTGCTGTGTTGGAAGAAGGAGTGGAGACCCGTCCAAAGTGTAATACCAAGCTGCAACCTCTGACCATGTGTACATACACGCACAGAAGAATGGGGGCCGGAAGATTCAGAAAACAAAATAATCAAAAGAAAAAGGAAGAACAAAAGGGAAAATTCAGAGAGGAGCAGAAACATGCTACAGATTGAGCAAAAGAAGCTCGAGACCAAAAAGTTGAAGGGAGTGCGGGCATTGGAGAAACGGTGTTTGGGGAGTTTAAACTCTGGAGGTTCTCTGTTCATTTTGTGCATATATACCGAATCTCACGAAGCATTTTTTGTCTTTGTTTGTTGTTTTTTATGCCAGCTGAGCTTGCACAACTACCACATTCATGTACGAATTTGTTTGAGTAATGAAGTGCAGCATGGTAGTGATCCATCATCATCATCTTCGTTAAAATTGTCTGCCAGCAAACTTTTGTCTATGTCGTAACTCCGTCCAACTTATACCTCATAAGTCATGAACCCGAAAGAGTTACCCATCATCCATCATCTATCATCTATCACCACCATCTATCAATCTATCATCATCACCATATCAAACCAACTCAAAACTTTTACCCCCAACCCCTCCCCATTATGTGAAAGAAAGAATTAAGCAAACCTCTCATCCCTCGCCTCCAAACACGCATCCACCATCCCATCAACAGCCAACCCCCTCTGCACCTCGGTACAACACCCAATCTTGACCAACTCCGACAATGCCTCGCCCACCCAATTCTGACAATTCCACCCGGGGAGATCATTCCGCACTTTAACCCTAGCGCACGCATCCCTGATCATCTTCCTAGAGATAGTAGTAGAGTTATTATCACTACTTACCGTCGTTACGACAGGGATATTCCGCTCTAATTTCGCGCTCTGCGTGGGATTCGCCCCGGTTACCTCAACGAATTTAAATCCCCCGGGGGGCCCCGTGATGTGGAACATGCTTTGTTGGTTGTCGGGGTATGTGGTGAGGAGGAGCACGGCGTGCCGGTATTTGATGAAGTCGAGGGGGGAGCCGTGGAAGACGAGGAGGGAGAGGGTGGTGGTGGTGGTAGTCATATCGATGGGTGGGTAGTTAGGGAATGAGGGCTGGGCTGGGCTGGGCTGGGTTGGATGGGATGGGATAGGATGGTTATTCTTTCATTGTATACGGGCCCATCTCGTGATGGAAGGGCTTATATAGCTATTCTGGTATATCGAAGTTCATGAGTCTTGTAGATGTTTGGGATATGCCGTGAGCGAATATCTCTCCCATATGCAGGACGGGAAGGGACATATGGAAGTCTAGAAGGGTCTACAGATATGCTTAATAGCTTTCAAACATATCACAGTATGAATTTAAGGATTGTGTCAAGGCATTCTCCTACACTCATCTACCAGCACTGAAACGTGTCAACCTGCTACTGCACAAAGAAGCTCCCAACACTAAGTAACCTTAACCTACTACTAGCTCTGTTGTACTTCTGTTGCTTTGTTACAGACTACGGGACGGGACGTTCTCGTCGCTACCAGAGATTGAGGGAGAGAAAGAAATGGCAGTTCCCTTTTGTTTTGTGGGAGAGATGAGTGGTAGTTCCGTGGGAGGTCTGTGGTTGAGTATCATCTATTCAGGTACTCATTGGACAGTACGCTTCTGTGGACGGTCTGGACCTTGTTGGATATGGAGGCAGAGTTGCGGTGTAGGTGTCCTGTATACTGTGAAAGTATCATGTTGGTCGAGATGGGTTTATCCACTATAGCTTATCGGATATAGGGGTGGTTATGTCTGTTGCTGAGTATGGGTGGTTTTGTATGGAGGGTAGGATATATCCGATAATTCCGATTGATAGGAGTAGGTAATAACAATAGGCGGGTGCTGGTGGGAGAGATTGCTAGCTGAGTGCTGTAGTGATGTAGACATTGCGTGTTTGGTTGGGCTGTGAGTGAGTGGCGGAGAGTATGGCAGACCAGTGTATTACTATGTGATTTCATAGCTTATAGTTGAATATGTTTGCTGCACTAACAAAGGAAAAAATTCTTTGATTGGATCCCTAGACAAACAAGAGTAAAAAACAACACAACATGCAGGATTTCCTTCAACATCAAAGACAAAACCAGACCCGGAATCGAGTGGCCGATCTGATCAATTCCGGTAGACCCGACTAGTACAGAAGGTAATCAGGGAGGCGAAAGGGGACGGGCGTGAGATATGTACAGCGTGGGGGATAATTGGGGGTGGCTACAAGCCAGGCTTTCTAGGTCGGAAAGACTTTCTTTCTAATATCATGTTTTTCTCGCATCTCTTTCAAGGGGAGTGTCACATGGACACCGTGTCCGGTGTCATCATTGGCAAATACAGGTGCCGCTTAGCGGTAAGGAGCATCGGCTCTGATAGCAGCAGCAATTTCGGGCTCCCACTTGTCACCGTTGGCGAGAAGCTTCTCCTTGTTGTACAGCAGCTCTTCACGGGTCTCGGTGGCATACTCGGCGTTGGAAGCTACGCGACATTGTCAGTAAACGACTCACGTCCTACATAATTTTACTGGTTACTCACTCTCAACAATAGCATCGACAGGGCAACTCTCCTGGCAGTAACCACAGTAGATGCACTTGGTCATGTCGATATCGTAACGCGTCGTGCGACGGCTTCCATCCTCACGCTCCTCAGCCTCGATGGTGATAGCCTGGGCCGGGCAGATAGCCTCGCAGAGCTTGCAGGCAATGCAGCGCTCTTCACCGGTGGGGTAGCGACGCAGAGCGTGTTCGCCACGGAAACGGGGGGAGATAGGACCCTTCTCGAAGGGGTAGAAGATGGTGTAACTAAACGACCAGCGCATCAGCCGCAGATCCATTGAGACAGAACAATCCTCCCCAAGATAATGAAAAGTAATAGACAGGCTTAGAAGGTCCACGAGGCGTTCTGATGATGATATGCACCGAGGCAGACCTAACGAAGCTGGATAGGACGACTTACGGAGGTCTGAAGAACTGCTCCAGCACGACGTACATGCCGCGCAACAACTCAGCCATAAGGAAGTACTTTCCGGCCTTGTCGAGAGAAGACTCAGTGCCTTCGTCCCATTTCTTCGGAGGGGGCAGACGGAAGCCCGGTTGGGGGGGACCAGCTGGCGTAGCTGCCCGGTTCACCGAGGAAGAGAAGTTTGCGATGGATCCCAAGGGCGAAGAGCGGAGAGGGAAGGCTGTAGGACGAGAGTAGGCGACGAGCCTGGCGACGGACTTGGGGGCGGCCATCGCGGAAGTCGAAGAAGCGCGCGAAAGAGCGGGGATGACGAGGGGGGAGGTCAATTGGCAGAGGGGGGGAACAGCAGCAATTCGAACCAGAAGCGGTTGGAGGTGGAAGTCGACGAAGTTCTGCTTGGGTCGCCGGCCTGCTTAGGTCATGGCTTTCTGCCGCCCCGTGATTGGCCCGCCGCCAGGATTTTGCTTCCTCCGAGCCGCAACAGAATCCAAACCCGTTCATCATCCATCGCTTCATTTCCACCAATCTTTCCCCATTCCATCACTACCTTCTCCTCCTCATTCTCCCCCCCCACTCCACCTCTTCTTCCTATTCAGGCCCTTTTAAGCCTCCCTTTTCAACTTCACCTTCCTGCCATCATGTTCCGCTCCGCTGTCGTCCGCTCCCTCAGGGCCTCCGTTCCTCGTGCCGTCAAGACTCCGGCTCCCTTCCAGATCCGTAGCTCTCCTGTCGCTCGTCCGGCCCAATTCGCCCCTCGCTTTGCCTACCAGGGTGTCAGACTCTACTCCGCTCCCGCCGGTCTCAACAAGGATGAGGTTGAGGGTCGGATAGTCAACCTTCTGAAGAACTTTGACAAGGTGCGTCCGGAATCGCGCGTTTTCAACTTCTCGCTCAAGGCGAGGAATTTCAAGCTATCAAGAAATATAAAACAAGCACAGTGACTGACAGGCTGGAATTTTTACAGGTCTCCGATGCTAGCAAGGTTAGTTTGGATACCCGATGACGCCCGATGTCATTGGCCGGGATTTCCCGCGGGTAAAGAATCATAGCTTAACGGTCGCGATGTAACAGATCAACGGTGCCTCTCACTTCGCGAACGACCTCGGTCTGGACAGCTTGGATACCGTTGAGGTCGTCATGGCCATTGAGGAGGTATGGATATCGAATATACCCTGGCTTATACATGACATTGTATACTGATAGGGATGTCTATAGGAGTTCAGCATTGAGATCCCCGACAAGGAGGCCGACTCCATCCACAGCGGTAAGTGCAGCATTGGGATGAGATGCCCTTGCAGGGTATTGCGACGCCGGAGAACATATACTGACCATCCCTTCTGCTATAGTTGACAAGGCTGTTGAGTACATCCTTGGTCAGCCCGATGGTAAGTTTAACATAACACACTTTGTTGTGCAATTGAACATGGCTTGCGGGGATTCCGTACTGACTACTTTGCTAGCTCACTAAATATGAACGTAATGCGAGGACTCGGAGTGGATTGGGGGATTTAGAATAGAAAGGAAAGGGAATGCTGGCGTGCATCTACATGGGACTTGCCATAGTGGAGGTACCCGGAGTCGGTCACGCTACTCTGTATGCTGATACATGCCTGTGCTCTTTCACTCTATTATATCGTGTATATCATCTTCAATGCAGTTTTGACTGATTTTGGCTGGTCTTTTCGTATGAAACATCTTATTCTTTCTTTATTGAGTGTTGTTGAAGAAATATCTTCATTTGCTGAGAAAGCAATACTGAGGGAACTGATAGCGTCAAATTAAGCTTGGAATTGCACGCGGTGTTCAGGTCGGAACGAATCTGATATGCGGTTCCGTGGGATGACGTGGAGGCTACCGATTCGGGAGCAATCAACGAGAATTGAAGTGCAGGGCCCCAGCCAGCATAATAAAGGTGAGAAGGGCTGGGATTTCCTGCTGCAGCCTTGGAACCAATGCTAATGCGACTGAAGCAGAGAGCGAGAGAGAGAGAGAAAACAAAATAAAAATAAAAATAACACACGCAGGGGCCTGGAACCGAGTGGGCTGGGAGTAGATAAGTAGTAGTAAGTAGGTAAGTAGTAGTAGTGGCCATAAAAGAATGGGGTCCGTCACCGGAGAAGCAACAACTACTTACTACTAACTAACTGGAGACGCCCAGCCAAAGGAAGACCAAGCGCCAGATAGCCTTAGCGACCGCATCGACCGCATCAATCTTTATATCTCCTCCATCCAACTTCCCTCCCCGGGTTTTATCTCCCACCACCACCACCACCCTTTTTTCTTGTCTTGAGTTCTCACCGGGCTGAATTGGGGTTTATTGTCGCTGCTCGGCTCAGTTACCCACTTCTCTGGCCGCCCGTCTCCTTCTTCCCCCATTGATTGTCGGCCTGCCTTTCCTCTTCGTCGTCGTCTTCCACCACAACCCCCCCCTGACAATTTCCCGCCTAGCAAACTTTCCGGCGTCACTCTTCCATTTTAGCAACTCCAACCTCCGATCTTCCTCTCCCCCAAGAAAATCACCAGGCACCGGCCCAATAAGCAAACATCTGTCCATGTCGCAGACGATAACGGCATAGACTCCATCATTTGCGTGCTTATCGACACCACCCTGGTTCCCTTCATCCCTCCCTCCTCCCCCACTCCCGTCTTCCAGCCGCATTTAGATCCTCATGGCCTCAGCCGGGGGCTTGACTCGCCGGAGAGGTGGCGGTCGAGTCGCTGGCGCCGAAGACAACGACGACAGCAGAGTCTCTTCGCCCGTGTCGAGAAATGGTTCGTCGCTGGATAACCGCATCCCCGAGACCTCGTTCACCAGCTCCGAAAACGGTCACAAAATCGCCTTCGATCCTAGGGACATCAGTGAGACGGAGGAACGCAGCAAGCAGCCCAAGTTGACGCTGATGGAGGAGGTGCTTCTGCTGGGCTTGAAGGATAAGCAGGTGAGCCCCTAGCCTAGCTACGCGCATCTACACCCGGTGTTCAATGACTGACAGGCGCGCCCGGGATGGTTTGGTGTCGCTGTAGGGTTATCTGTCTTTTTGGAACGAGAACATCTCCTACGCTCTCCGAGGATGCATCGTGATCGAGTTAGCGCTCCGTGGTCGGATCAGCATGCAGAAGGACTCCTCTCGGCGACGTTTCCCTTTGGCCGATCGGGTGATTGAGGTGGTCGACGATACGCTAACTGGGGAGGTCTTGCTGGACGAGGCGCTGAAGATAATGAAGTCGAGTGAGAAGATGAGCGTGAACTCCTGGATCGATTTGTTGAGCGGTACGTTACGCAGGAGCATCTCCGATCATATTCCTTATTGATTCTTCCGCGATTGCTATTGACGCATTGGCTGACGCGACATGTCTTCCGGGCAGGTGAAACATGGAATCTGATGAAGATTGGCTACCAACTCAAGCAAGTGCGCGAACGCCTCGCCAAAGGTCTGGTAGACAAGGGTATCCTCCGCACCGAAAAGCGGAACTTCCTCCTCTTCGACATGGCTACGCATCCCGTCGCCGATGGAGGCGCCAAGGACGATCTCCACCGCCGCGTCCGCAACGTCTGCAGCAGCCGTACAGTGATCCTCCCGGCCAATGCATGGCTTCCTGAAGACGTCGAGTTCCGTTACCTACGAACCATCACCATGGTATGCGCGGCCTATGCGGCCAACGTGCTGGAGAACGCTCTGGTCACAATGAGTCACGAGGCCCGCGAAAGGGCATTCGCGCAGGTGGATGAGTTGCTTGCTGAATACTCTCAGTGGCCATTTGCCCGGAGGGCAGGAGGGTCGCAGGCCATTGGAGCCAATCTGGCACAGGCTATCAACGACGAGGTGAACAAATCGAAGGACCGAGAACTTCAGATGGAGGTACGTTTCTCCTCATCCATTGACTACTCTGCGCCCAATGCTAATTCTCTTGCAGATTGTGGCAGCATGTTTGAGCGTTTTCACTAGACTCGACTCCCTACTGTAAGGGTATCATCATTCTTCGTCATCTGCTATAGTCCCCAACCTAGTTTGTCTTTTTACTTCCCTATTATTTCCCCTTATGCTATTGGTTTCTGAGTCAACAAAACAACTACCCCGGGGGAGCTCTACTTGGCTTCATCTTGAAGTAGTCACCGGTTTACCGGTTGGAACTGGCAGAGTGGCGTTTATATGAAATCCGTCTTGCATTGTTTTGCACGGGATGTTCGATTCGATCTCCATTGATCTGTGTTTTCATTGTCTGCTTTTGTTCCACAGCTTTCTTTTCCACCCATCGACTCGCTTGTTCCCTCTCTTTTCTCAAGGAGGCAAAGCGCGGCCATGTCATATGTATTTCTCAAACAGCCCCCAACTCCCACAGGAATTGTACGCACCTCTGGGGAGTTAAATCCCGTTCAGATGCATGCAGTCAGGACAGACAACCAGCACCGGGGCGCCATCCAGAACATTGAACCCGGTATGCCATGACAAGGACGCAACTGGTTTGTGCCTTTGTCATCAGACAGCCAAATTCATCGAAAGAAGAAAAAAAAAAAATAAAGAGAGAATAAGAATGAGTGCTACACATGGAGACAGAGACATCCAACGAGGTCTTGCACGGACCTCTGCTTTTACTTTATCTACTATTCTATTTATGATCCTTTTATTTCCCTTTAAAAAATTTATTTTCTTCTACTATTTTCCCCCTTCCTTTTCTTTCTTCTACCTAAGTTTTTATTCCAATTGTTTCAACTTCCTCTAATCATCCCCATAACAAACCCCCCCCCTCTCTTTCATTCTCTTTTCTTCCCTCAACATGTGTAGCAGAGGGCGCTTAAAAATTACCTGTCCCTTTTCTCTCCGTCTACTCCGTCCCATTTATGAATGTATCTACCATGTATACCGGGTGGCTTGTGCTGTCGAATGTCTTCCTTCCTATCGATTCTTCTTTTCTTTTCTCTTTTTTGATCATCAGGTCACACCAAAGTATTGTCGTGTGTGAGTTTCTTGTTTATCCTATGCTGCACCTGACTCGGATTGAGCCTGTACGTGTTTCTACTCCTCTTCTTCTTTTCTGTCTGTTGATTGTCCTTCTAGCGCTTTACTCTTCCACCATGTCGTTAGTTACTTTAAAGGGTGTGCTTCGTCTACCTGTAAGATTCAATAACAAGAAAAGAATTTGGGTATCAATCCATCTCATGCGCCCGGGTTAACGAGATACTTTTCCTTGGTATGCACTTTGACGATGGTCTATAGATTTACTAGTCTAAAGATTGATGGGTCTAATCGCTAATGTAGCTGCCAAGTATGGTACATTCACTGCTGTCATACTGCTTTCTAATAAAAAATCACGAAATTGATAGATATCAAACGCTTCATGCTAGTTAACCCGGATCACCATCATTCCTCCCCGTCGTCCTCCGCCCGCTCCTGCCGCCCCCGCGGATAGCACGTCCGTGCCGTCAACCAAGTCCTTGATACTCTCGACCCTCCCTCGGACCTCGTCTGCTTCAACTAGCTCGGAAATCCGGCTCAAGGCTTCACCGTTGGGGCTGACAATAATGAAGCGACTAAGCACGCCATCCTTGCGTGGCTCATCGTCATGGAGAGGGTCCCTGGCTTCCGCCGGCGTCGAGTCTACCGCGGTCAGGACAGCACCATGCTCTTTGATGACCTTTGGAGAGTGTGCTTGCTCGAACATCTCCTGACCAGCGCAGTCCAGGACAACATCTACCGGGTCCCAGCGGTTCTTGCGAAAAATAGATCCGAGATCATAGTCATGTGGTAGGGGAAGTGGCGCAGAGATTGTCGCGTCCACGTTGAATTCTTTCCGCAGGTAATCCTCCTGATCTTCAGCGTCACAGGTTGCGCAGATCCAGGGCCGCGAGTGCGGGAAGAGCTTATGCGATCGAAGCAACTGTAGTGCCTGAGTGGCAATTTCATTGTTGCGCGCGTTGGTAATGAGAACCCGTAGCTGGTGGCGCCCCTCTTTAACGTCGGCGGTGTCAAGCCCGGCGTACTTGAATATCGCCTCCCAAGCCGTCAAGGCGGGCATGGGTATGGTAGCTGCTTCAGCAGCGCTGATGTTCTTGGGCTTGTACGCCAGCTCATCTTCCGAAACGATGACGTAGTCGGCTGCTGCACCGTCGCGCGTGTGCTTGATCAGCCCAAAGACGGCGTCGTCAACCTTGAACTTGGGCCCGTCTGGGTTCCAGTGGTCTTTTTCAGGGGTACTAATGACCTTACCGCAAAAACTATGCAAAGGGATCTGCGGAATGGACTTGGATGGGTTCAGAATATTAGATAGCCGGAGCTCATCATGGGAAAAGGCGGCTGCCTGCACCTTGACGAGATAGTCGTTCCCTGAAGGGATGGGAGTTTGGAAGTCCGTGTCGAACTTCACGTGGGAATCCGTCCTAGGCTCGTCCATAGATGTGTGGTCTGTGACGGCTGTTGATGCCGGGCTGAAGTAAAGCGCTCTCATTGTTGGTGGCACGAACGTCTGTTCGTCCATCGTGGTTGACTGAGGCTTTGCAGGCTTCATGGCGATTCGCTTCGGCTTCTCTAATGCGTGATAGGGTCGCAGTCTCCTATCGTAACTAAAAGAGTATTCAAACTCAATTGATATGAACCGCTGCGACAGTGAGTGCCGCGAACCTTCGTTATGCTTAGTGCCAGGTGGGACAGATTCTTTCAGTGGATAAGCCTTGACTTTGGTATATTCTGAGCTTCTTCCTGTAACTTGGGGGAAAATAAAATGATCTGCAACCCTTGGGCACAAGAGAGCTTAGTATAAATTCTGGAGTGGGCTGCAGCCACCGTGGTTGCGGGTGAACATACTCTCATGTTGACGTAACCCAGGAGAGAACGGCTTATCTCAGCACCGTCAACAGATTGACTGATCAGGCGATATTGAGCTCATCACCATGTCTTTTGACGGTGGCGGAAGTTTCTGGCCTTGTTTTGGGGACTGTGCCTGTCGACTGCTTGACTTAAGTTCAGCCACCAGATGATGCACTTCCGCCGGTTGTTCGAACACCCTCCACACGTCTTCTGGAATACCCGCAAAGGCAGTTTTGAATCTCTCTGGGGAGTTCTGTTCATCCAAATGAGGCACGTCTGTAACCTTCCTGATCCAAATCGCTTGGATCCAGTGCGGATGTCTCTTATAAAGTTCTGCGTAGGCCTCGGGATCTTGCTGGGTGGAGTCTCCGATACAGAGCACTTGGCGCCTGGGAAACCATCCATGAATTTTCTCCCCGCGGTCCACCTTGTACTCGTGTGTGTTGACGGTGAAGGACTTTACTAGCTCGCTGATATCCAACCAGGATGAGTCTCGAAGAATCATCGTACCCGGACTAAAATATGAACCAAGGAATCCGTGCAAAAAAGGGTACAAATTATAAGGAGAAGCTGAGACATAGAACCATGCGGGTACAAGCTGGTTCTGGATATGGGCATATAGTTGAGGCATTCCGGCAATAGGCTTGGGGTCTTCAACGAACGTGGTTCGAAGGATGCCAGTGGTCTCAGAAGTCTTGGTGTACTTGATTGTATCGTCGATGTCGGAGATGACAAGCCAACCTTCTGGACCAGCAAAGATGGTGTCCATGAAAACCTGGTTTCCCCAACCTCGAAGATATGATCGGATTTTAGTGCCATCTGTGATGTGCTTGCTGTTCGCGCTGATTGTCTGACTACTGATGCCACTCTGATCGGTGGGCCCGATCTTCTGCATCTGGATGGTGCTGTTCGGCAAGGGAGTTTCTAGTGTCATCAAGTGTGCAGAGGCAGTATGGAACAGGAATGGCTGTAGTCGTTCTGTTATCCGATGGCGTGTCTCCTTGTCTGTTCCCATCTCTCCGTCCAGTCCAATGAGGTCTGCAATCATGGCGACGAGCTTGGTGATATCCCTTCGGCTATTCTTGCGGAAAGCGCAGGCAACGACTTCTGCGTGCCATGATGCCTGTCTTGATGCTGTGGGCGCCGGTACCTGATAGGCAGTGTTATCAAACAACCATACGGTATGCTGACGAGCGTCTGCCGTTTGAATCGATGGGGGCTTTGAGATGAATGAAGTGACCATTTGTAGCATGCTTGATTCTCGCTTCCATGCATGTACTACCCGTGCGACCTTGTGAAGGACGGTAGGGTCTTTGAGGTTCGTATCAGAAGACATGCTAGTGCGTATCTGCTCGTGTGAGCTTAAGACCCTGAAGAATGTATTGTGATAAGTTGAATTGAATTGATACAGATACTGAAAAATAGAATAGCGTTCTGCAGGTGAGTGAAGATTTAAACCAGTTTATAGCCCTAAGATGTACAGTATCGGGCGCCACGAGGCAGGCAGCCTCCTGATCCTGCGGGACTGCATCATATTGATCCCAAGTCGCAGGGCAGTGGCATCTATACGGGCTCAGGCAGCTTGGCCTGAGTCATTTCCTATTTTGAGGAGTCAGGGGAACAGGGCCATAAGGCTGTGTCCCTGTGGGGTATAGGATCGACGAAGATATGCAGACGGAGAGATACATGCATGAGAGGGCTCGCTGCCTGGCGCCCGCGTCAGCCTCGATTGACTTGTGACCTATGGGATATCGAGGCGCAGCGGCTGACCAGGCCCCCGGGGCGCGGGTATGGGACAGTCATCTGCAGGGAGCGCAGGAACCGGGCGGGCAAATCCCTGAACGTGCGCATTGAGACCGTTGCTGAGCGCGTAACTTGCTGCAGTGAGAATGCCGAGAGGTGCCTTGGGCTCAGTTTTGTAATGATATTACTGCGATGAATCATTTGAGCGGAGATGGATTTATGTTAGTATGAGGGCTGTGCTAGTTGCATGGTGGTTGGCCATCGGAAATCCAGTCAGTCGGATCATCACGCGGCATTCTGAGTTGGTCATGGTAAAACTGTAATGACAGCCTTATAGTTTTCTGTGACTGAGGCTTCTGACAGACGAGATAAAAGAGAAGTCGAAGACAAAGAGACAGAGGCGAATGAAGAAAGTGAAGAGAACTAAAGACGAAAAGTAGATCAAAAGACCAAGAAGGAAAGAACGAACTACTAGGTACGTACTCGATCGGTGGGGCTTCCCTATTAGGAAACTGGGACCCTTCAGTACTTATTTACCGGCCCGTCACATGACAGGCCATCAAAAACAGAGTCGCGAGCACATCTCAGATCCTAGCTGAAAACACGGACCGTGTCAACCGGCTTTATTTCACGATTCTACAAAATTCTCCGGACTTCGCATCAGGCCGTTATATTTGTGCTTGTCTCAGATCACGTGGCTGTATCACTTGAATTGCGTCTGCGGTGAAACATTCACTCCTACTCCCATCACATCGATATCACCCGCTTCAGCAACAAACACTCGTGTAAACGAATTATTCGACTATCGTGCAACACATTCTTACGTAACAAAAGAAAGGAAATTAGGTGCCGCAACTGAGTAACGCATTGCTAGCCCATATCCAAAGCCCGGCGGGCTGTCACAGAAATGGCCGGCGTTACTATCGACCGGCGAACCGGCCAGGCCTATAGAGAGATGGCCTTTCACCCTTCCAAGTACCCTAATGGGTCTTTTTGGGTTCACGAGTCTCCGTTCTTGCCAGAAAGATGGGAGGAGAGCAGCCGAGTCGGGGCGCCCTCATTACAGCACTCCGCCATGAAATGCCTGTTGTCTGACCAGAGGAGACTACGGCCTGAAATGTTTGCTTACGTACCCTGGCATATTGCTAGCTACCTCTGGGATTGCCTTGGCAAGAGGTAGGATAATCGAGAATATGAGAACAAATCTGGCCTAACTTTTGCCGTAGCAAGAGAAGAACTCTACACAGCTGGAAGCTCTTTGCCACGGCCTACCCCGAGCAATTCCGAGAAGTCAGCCGTTACCGCTCCTATAGTGTCAGGAGCGTGGAGATGGGCATGCCCGAATACTGGAAGGAGGTGAATAGCGATACTTTGAGTTGGCGGGCGGTGCTAAGTTTGGACCCATCAATCGCCAGGGTTCCTGATCTCGTGGAGATAGCTAGAATCCGGAACTTGGTAGCTTTGGAAATATCATCGCCACCGCAGACCTGGCATAACAGCGAATCGTCTGGGGTCACGCTCAGCAATCGCATCATCCGGTCGTGGAACGAGTTACAGCAGAGTTCTGAGGCATTTGCACATCTCCGGGTCTTGGTCTTGTCTCGTCAATGTGACCTCTCGGTGCAGATCTTCCAATACCTGCGAGACTTTCCGTCGCTGGAGATTGTTCTCGCGGTGGACTGCGGGGATCTCACAAGGGCGTCTAAGGTTGATTTTCAGGTTGATGGATGGCTAGTAGATCCCGATACAGAACGAGACGGGACTCTCTACGATCAGTATTTATCAGTTATCAAGAGCGAGGCAAAAAAGCCGACTGGCCTAGACGCTGCTCCCGTCTTGAACTTCGAAATCAACCCTAGCAAAACCAAACGCGAAACGCCAATGAGGAAAGAGCTATTCTGCTTCTACCGCGACTGCAGCAAGGCTTACAAGCACGAGCAAGAGTCAGACCGGAAAAGGCCACGAGGCTATCCCCAGATGAAAAAGCAAAGGCCAGATAAATACCGCAAGATAGGCTGGGAAGGACTGCTGGGAGACTTGACTTGATTGTCAAAAGTGTCAGACCATCAAGTGGGGACTATATCCATAGTTAATGCTAACTGGATGATGTCACTGCTGACAGTCTCAGGGCGGTCGGCCATATCTCGGCCGGGGGACCGCCACAGTGTGGGTGCTGCAAAGGTACCTGCATAGCTGTAGATCAGTAAGGAGCAGACAGGCCTGGTTGACTCGATACAAAGTACATTATGTGTAGAACGATTGGGTGGATATAAAGGAGACTAGGAGATGTCCAGACTGGAGCTGGATGACGCCGGGATGACAAGCGGGGGCTTGTGATTGGACGATTAAGGGGAGCCGCCGTATCCCCGCCTTTTTGGGGGCTTCGAATGAGTGACTCTCCTTTCGTCTTCGCCTCCCATCCAGACTCGCTTCTCCTTTCTTTGCAGCCTGCACTGCCACTTTTGATGCTGTTGTTTGTCTCGAATTGGGAGCATCACCTCCCCAGATCAGGTCTCACGTACTTTTGTACAGCTACTCCTATCCGGAGAACTTCCTGCACGCCAACTACACCCCTCATCCCACCTTACCTAAGCTCCTCCCCTCCCTCCCATTTCCGTCCACCATGACGGACCGACCGATGGATACGGTTGCAGACAGCAATTCCAGTGGATCAAACGTTGCATCTCCCAGATCTAGCACGGATTCTCGCACTCCATCCGCCAGCGTTCGGTCACTCCGCCTCTCCTCGCACGCTCCGAATCATCAGCACCGTCAGAGCATCAGCGATACTCTCCGTGCGACCCCGGGGTCGCCGCGGGCACGCCGACAGCCCTCCTTGACCCAGGCCGCCATTCAGAGTCTCATCGACAATCCGCCGGCCCCGAACAATGCCAACCCCGCGTTTGTCGGCCGAGACTGGCGGGAGATCTCCATCGGGGAGCTGGTCAGTCCAGACGACCTGAAGTTCGTCGATATAGACACGGGAATTGAAGAAGCGACGAATGTGGGCGCTGCTGCTGGATCCAGATAGTAATTCCGAGTCGCGGGCTGACTCTATTAGATCTTGATTGACACCGGGGCGCCGGTGCTGCTGATCCGGGAATCACCCCAGCACAAGTCGGCCGTGGGCACCTTCGACTACGCCGATCTGAACGCATATCTCCTGCTAGCGGCGGGACTAACACAGCCGAATGAGGAGCTCCTTGCGTCGTACGAAGAACTCGCCCGCAAAGCGAAAGAAGGCATTCCGATTCCGCTGCGAGATGTCAAGGATCTCGGTCGCAAAGAACCGCTGACGACGTTGCCGGCATCGGCCAGTGTCATGACCGCTGTACAGACGTTCGGCGGCGGGGTGCATCGCGTGGTAGTGGTCAGCGAGCGGGACGACAATGAGGTTGTGGGCATTTTTAGTCAATTCCGACTGGTCAAGTTCCTGTGGGAGAATGGCCGCAGCTTTCCTGTGATCGACCAGCTGTATCCGCAGTCGCTGCATGACCTGCGGATCGGGTCGCGAGATGTGATTTCAATCAAGTGCGTTCCTCGAATGGTTTTGAAGTGATTTAGCTAATGCTGTGTAGTGGTGACCGGCCGCTCGTTGAGGCGCTGCAGATCATGAATGAGGAGGGCATCTCGTCTATCGCAGTGGTGGACAACCACTCCAACGTCGTGGGCAACATCTCCACGACAGATGTCAAGGTATGCAGGACTATGACGCTAGATGAGCACCGCTGACCAGACAGCTCCTCACGCGCTCATCATCGCTTCCACTACTCCGCAATACATGCACGCATTTCATTTCCGTGATTCTGTCGAATCGCGGCTTGGAAGAGGGCAAAGACTCGTTCCCGGTCTTTCACGTGAACCCAGGGTCGACACTAGCGCACACCGTCGCCAAGGTGGTCGCCACCCGGTCCCATCGGTAAGTCTAGATCTAGCACATACAAAATGGCAACTACTAACAAACCGCCAGCCTCTGGGTGACCGATCCGCTATCGCCATCCTCATCAGGACCTCCTACACCATCGCACTCATCCGTGCATATCCCACTGGTCACAAACTCGAGTCCACCCCCTTCACCAGCCGTCAATAACGGCAATGCGGCGCCAGCGGCATACCTCAGCGCGCCGTCGATCCCGGCCTCGGCGCTACCCGGGGCACGGCTTTCGGGGCGGCTAGTCGGGGTTGTGAGTCTAACGGACATCCTGAACCTGCACGCGCGGGCGAGCGGACTCAGTCCGGCGGACCCAGCCGAGAGCCGTAGCCGACGACGACGCAGCAGCAGTTCGAGCGTGGGGGTGCGACGTAGCGGCGAGATAGGTCGGGAACTGTTCAGCGGGCGAATTGTATAGCCCGTTCTTTTTTTCCCTTATTATTTTTTTTTTACCTCTTTTTTCCTTTTCTAGTATTTACTATGTCCAATTCTGTACCTAGATCGACACCCAAGTACATATCAATCCAATCCCAATACCTGATTCAACTCCATCGGAAATCCCCCCAAATATGGAGCAAACCTGACATACAAAACATGGGGGGGAGATGAATCTCGGCCCTACACCCACCCACCATTACGCAATACACTCCCTTACATACAATACAGTAATCTACATCGTATCCTCGATACAAGCACCACCCCCACACCCTCGCCCCACTAGCAGCAAACCCCATTGACCAGTGACACAGTGACAGTATACTAAATACAGCGACTGAGCAACCAGCAGGTGGATACAGAACGCCCGATCCATAGATACTTGAATCAGTTATGAACAGCAGAGACTACTCACTAAGTTATCACTACTAGGTGAAAAGCGGGCCCCGGCCATCCCCGAGACCCGCTCGCTCGTTCCCCCTACTAACTTGGGGGATTGGGAGGAAGGGCCCAAGGTACTACTACTATGGAAATGCGGACGGAGGCGATCCGTTCGTTAAGTTGGGTGGAAAAAAGGGCCAATGAGAGGGTGTTATACCTGGATGGGAAAGCGTGGGTTGGTCTAGATTGAGCTGGAGGAGAGGGTTAGATTGGAGGTTAGTACTGGTATGGGATGTGAGTATTTCCGGATTGTGTGAGGGTTAGGGTAGACTTGGTTGGGTTCTTACGCTTGGTTATTAGTATTATTGTGTAGGTAGTACCTTAGTAGTGAGTATTATCTACCATGTGTGAAATGTACTTGGCACTTGGCAGGGACAGGAAGTATCGTAGTATTTTCATCTCACCTCTTCTTCTTCTCTTCTATCTACCTGGCTAGCTAACTAAGTAGCTAGTAGTAGTTAGCTACTCACAACCCTGATGTAAGCAAACAAGCAATCAAGCTACCCAGAACACGTTACACAAATCCAAATCCAATCCTTCTTAATCTCTGGAGCAAGCCATCGTGATCAACCCACCCACACCCCCAACTCCACACCAGCTCCAGCCCTCCTCCAACGACCCCTCCTCTTTCGGGCTATCAACTATCCGGACGGAGCTCCCAAGTTCTAGACTCTCAGTTTTCTGAACTCCACTGTAAAATGGGAGATCGGCCGGATGTCTCTGTAGCCAGACCAGCCCCCCACAACAACAGTAGTAGCAAGCAAGCAAGCACAGATGAACCCAGTTACTCTGTTTAGTTAGTGAATAGCCTGGGTCTTAACAGGCCCATTCCCAATCCCTATTTCATCTAAGTCGGGTAGCTGGTTTCCATCCCACCTCCAGGATATTGCTAAAGTGGGAATGGGTGATGGGTGGTGTTAGCCGAGACGGAAAATACTTCCATATTGGGTGTGGGTTTTTGGGTGGGAGTGTATTTACGAGAGAGGAGATGATTGCTTGCTTTGGTAGTATAGGGGGTGTCTCTATGTGGGTTTATGGTGGTAGTAGTGAGGGAGTGTGGTATGTAGTAACTAGTAGTAGGACAGGTTTTAAGTGGGTTCTGCTCCAAGTTCTGTAGATGGATTGAGTGTGAGTGTGAGTGAAGGTAAAGACAGGAAGTATAGAGTATACTCACAAGAAGGAAATGTGTATTCTGAAAGCATCTACTCCTTGAACTCAACCTGCAAATAAACTCTTCTTCACTTGCTGAACTCACAGATACAAAACAGAGGGACAGACCGAATTCTACCCAGTACCGTACCTCCCACATCACCAACCAACAGCCCCAAAAGCAACAGCAGCAGCAGCAGAGAGAGAGAAAAAGAGAGAAAGAGAAAGATCCAAGGAACCCAACCATCCGAACCTGAACCTACCCAGCACCTATCACCCACCCAAGTAAGTTAAGTTACACCCGCCCTAACCCGATTCCTCCCTACAGTTCAAAAAGTATTGAAAAGTCAAAAAGTACTAACTAATCAAGGTTCAAATCATCGCCTCCCGGCTTTTCCTAATCAGAACTAGTGCGTTAACCAACTTCTAAGTACGTAGCACAGACCAAGCGGAACTCCGTAAGTATCCACACTTAAAATAGAGGAAAACCCACAAATCAATTAATAATCTTCTCTCTTAAGTTATTAAGTGCAAATTGTTGTGTGTGAGTGAATGAGAAAATGACTTGCATTTCTGCAAAAAACTAGTAATGCAGATCACTTTCCCGTTCTTACCCACATGATGTTTCCACACTAATAACGTTAAACTAACTAACAACTTAATTTAATATTCTCGTGATCGAGGCTGTTCTGTTGGGTTAGTTTTGGTCGATCAAGGGCTATATTTGACTGACGTACGTACGTACCTTTACTCTCTAGAGTATAGATAGGTTTAGGGAAGAAAAGAGGGGTAGGGATTGGGAGACCCACACAAGCTCTCTCTCTTTCTCTTTACTTGGGAGGGAGGGTGTATGTGGTGGCGGAGGCGGATTTCTATACACTGCTTGTGCAGAGATACTTGGGCATAGAAGAAGGGAAGAACTTTATCAGCAATTATTTCTACTTGAAAGTAGCGAAAGGATTACTTCCTCCTCTTTATTTACTATACAAGGAGTGTAACTACAACTACCTGAGTGATAAAAATGCCTTACACTATAATCTCATCCAACCTCATCTAGTACACTAAGCTCTAATGTAGATCCCATACCAAACAGACCGACCAAATAGAATCAATAGAATCACCATCACAATAAATGGAAAAATAAACTCAACACTAAACCGTACATCTCCCATCACCCTTACCAACTTCCCTCAGAGCTGGCCCCCAGCCCAGGCCCCCAACTTCCTCCCCCCAGATGTCAGCATGTCGACACCCACCATGACAAAAACCAAAACGAAAAATAAAAGAGAGAAAATAAGACGGGAATCCCGGCTGGGAAAAGGGGATATGAGTGGATGGCTAGTATCGGCTAAAACGGCTGTGTCTACCTACCTACCTATCACTTAGTACTACCTAACTAGGAACCAATCTATCTATCTGGAGAGTAAACTCCCCTCCAATCCTTCCTTATTATTTATTAAATCCTTTATTACTAGTAACTATGATAGACTGGCTTCGTAAGTAACTCACTCACTACATTCCAGCTCAGCTGATACTAATCTAATTAATTTAATTCATTTTTCCTCATATTCCCTCAAGTTAATATCACTATTACTATCACCCGCATCAGATAATACACACTATGATCACCCTATGTCCTCATAATCCATTTATTCTTCATTCATCTAAGCTCTTAGTAGGGAGGGTTTTCTTTGTGTAACTCGTATTATAACTATTAAGCCATTATGATGCATCATCATCATCCCGCTAAGAAAAAATAATGCCGCGGGATTTTTTGAACTGAAGAAAATTTCTTTCATTTCCACTAAACTTATAATAATAAGGTCCAGGTGGTCGAACGGGTCCTTCTTGGTCTATGTTGAAGAAAATCGATGCATTCGTGTTCGCTGTTTGCGGAAATGTAACCTCATCTCCAAATTCTCCACCCACCAGGTTCCCTGGAGCTTGGGGAGCTTCACCCGGTCTAGCTAGATAGCTCAGGACGGTGAGATCCACTTTACTGGCCCTGAAGCTTGTTTGTTGGGGTTTGGAGGAGGGTGAAGTTACGAAGATGGCTGAATTTCTACCAACCCAAGATAATGTCAAGTTAAGCAAAGGTATAGCATTCGCTATGGATCACCTGGTCAACGCCGCTCTCCCGGGTATTGTCTCCCCTCGTACACACGACACCAACCAAGCCAGCAAGTCCCCGCCCAAAGGAAGTAGTAGTAGTAGTAGTAACAATAATAAACAGACGAACAAAAAAAAAGAAAAAAAAATCAATACTAAAACATAGTGTAGAGCTAAGGAATCACTCAACGTATAGGGTACTCATGCACTAACGGGAAAATCCTCCATGGTAAAAAATTCATCAAACGCCGTTTCTGATTCCGGTAGTTGGGGACCACTGCCCAGCCCAAATGCGAATTGGCTGAAATCTTCATAGTCAGGATCCATATGGTGCTCCTGTGCGTATGCCATCACCCCCTCGTCCTTGTTCAGGTCTAGCCCCCAAAGACCCGGGTCCTGCCCCGTCGATGTGGGGGACTGTGGTGTGCTGGGCGTCGGACACAAGTCTGGTGTCGGCACTGGCTCTGTGGAATCCATCGGCATGCCTGGTGGAGAATTGAGCTGAGACAGGTTGGCCAAGCTTTGCGTCCGCAGAGCTTGGCCAGGCTCCGACCGGACTCGAGTGTGCTGGTACATCGGGTGGGCCGGTCGAGGACCGGCCGACGCTGATGAGGATGAGGACGTTGTTGTTGTGGGAGGCACCGTAGCACTGCCATTGCTAGACGCCGCGGGAGTTGCAAGCAAGGGGGAAGGCATCGCATGAACGGGAATGACCGGCGCCGAACCCATGCGGTCCCGGAACTGACGAACCGGCATGGCGCCCATTTCGCCCATCGTAGTGGCCGGGACCTGCTGCACCGGCGACACGAACCCTCCTGTCCAAGGCGATCGCATGGGCTGCGGCCCGTTGAGCTGCGCCGGCCAGGTGGGTCCGCCCGCGGTCTGGGTGAGGTAGGATGGTAGTTGGCCCGACGACGCGGGGACGACGCTGGGATACGACGGCGACTGGGAATTTCCGTCGTATGTGGGGGAAAGCACATAGCTACCCTGGTGTGGTGCCAACGGGCTAGTCATTGGCCCGGTGTTCATACCGTCGGAGACGGAGGCACGAAGCCCAGACAAGTCCAGACTCATCTTGCGGATGCCGTTGAGAGACACCCACAGGTTGAGGTGGGAGCTGGCCCGACGCTGGTGCAGAGCACTAGGACGGTTGGCGAAAGCCGCCATGAGATTGCGGTTGAACTCGGTTTGCAGCTGCATCGACTGAGCGTGCAGCATACGGTTAATTTTCTCTTGGTAGCGGTCATCAACCTCTTCGTACATGGCCTCTCGTTCAACAATTTCCCGACTGATGAGGAGAGCCTTGCCGGTCCGCTGCTTGTGCAGGCTGGAGGCCCGGTTGGCCGATTCCACGCGAGCATCTAAGCTGCGGTCTTTACGACGGGAGGCGGCTATGAAGGCACTGTTTTCTCGTCAGCGGGCTTGCAGGCAGAGAAATCGTGGCCAAATAGATAGCCTACCGTTCCTGGTTCTCCTCCTTTGTGCGGGGATTGGGACAAACATCCACATCGATGGCGGGAGAGCCCATCGTGAGTGAGTGTAGCGGATAGTGACGGGGAAAGCAGTGTGGCAGTTGAACAGTATGGTGTGATGTGTGGCGCGGCGTGCGTAAGCAGTGAGACTGAGCAGATGACTGCAAGATCGGCAGTAGTATGTTGAGGAAAGAGGAAGATGTTTCACCACGCCTTGTACACAAGAAAACAATAGTAGAAGGGGGGACAGAAAAAGACGGGGGGTTGAAGTTAAATAAAATGGCAGCTGTTGAAATAACGGCAGCCAAGGAGGGGCATCCAACAGTGAGCAGAGCGTCAGTAAAGTTGACACCGGGAGTGGTTCAAGCAGCGAAGTTTAGCTGTCAGGTCACAACAGCTCAGCCAGCCAAAGGCCGAGTCTAGACGAGACATCCACTGCTGGGGCAAGTCTGGGTCGCCGAAACAAGGGCCGACCAAAAGTCAGGCTACGATGAAACCATGGAACGAGCGACAGCGCAAGGTTCTTGCAGAGCCGGGACTCAGACGTGGGAGGGGACTAGATCCCATGGAAGAGCGGAAGTCTGAAGTGGGTGACTAGCAGGGGGAGGACTAGGAGCGAACCGGAACCATTTTCCAGAAAAACAGAGGAATTGAGGAAGGAAGTAGCAGACAATGTTAGTCGATGAAAAGAAAACCGAATAAAGATAAGTAGACGAGAAAACAAGAAGACGAGATGAGGAGAAGAGGAGAGGAGAAGGTACATCGAGAGGAGATAGCAGTTTGAGAGGGGGGGAAGCTACATACGAAGCGGAGACATCGTTGCCCAGGATGATCCTCGTGATGGGGAAACACGATCGATCTTGCCGATGCCAGGCATGAAGTCGCTAGCAGGTATCTTGTTAGTATCATGCCCAGCGAGAAAGTACCTCCCAGTAACTCCTATACCGTACGAAAATCTTACTAGATACACTAGTACTAAGTAGTACGAGCCGGACAGCCTAAACTAGTGCAAAGATCGGCCAGGTCCGATCTTACCGTGTGATTGGCCACAACTGGTTATCATTACCGGATCGGGTAGTATGACAGATGCGCGGGTTTTCGTCCGTAATCCGAGCGTACGCGCTACTGTAGGAACATCGGGGATTTGTTCGGCCTCGTAACTTTCACCACCACCACCACCACCACTAACCATTTCAATCTTGCTTCTCTCCACCGCTGATCTTCTCATCTGCCTCCACCTGCCAGATCTTCAGTCCAAGCCACAATCTCTCTACTATCTTTCCCCGTACACACGGACATTATTATTAGACCGATTAACAGCGAGATCAACAGTAGACAAGGATGTGGATCTCTTATTCATCGTCCTAACGCATACCTAATCTGGGAATTCCTCTACCTTGTCTGTGTGGATTAACCTATTTCACTCCACAGACAACAAACAGCAATCCAGTGAGTATAGTTAGATTAGATTAACAGCAGAGCAGCAAGACCATCGCCAAGATCCTGGACACTTCGCTTAAAAAAAAACATAGACATTATCACCCATACCAACAAACTTACTTTGACCTGAAAAGTAAAATACCTTCATAATCTAATCGCCTCCCCTCCTAGCTTACCCTAAGTATACCCTCCCATCCCTCCATACAGAACGTACAGACCAGTTCTAATCACTCCCCTCAACCCACGGAATCAATTCTGGATAACAACCACCACCCAAACTAAAACCCCCGTAGCCACCGCCACGCCACCTACCCAAACCCCAGGAACGAATCCCGCCCCCTCTCTCCTTCCAGCTGCCCATCTAGTAAATCCCCCTTTACCCCCTTACCCAGGTACTTAGACCTTAGACCAACTTGCCCAGCAACAACCTCGGACACACTAAGGTACTGACTGCTCCGGGCATGCTCGTCTACTTTCCCTTTCCAGCACAACGCATCGCCTTGTATACCTAGACCTTCACACATCTAGCCTCTCTCAAATCCCCTTTCCCTCGGGCTCTATCCTTTCCCCTTTTCCCTTCCCGCTCTAGTTCTAGTTTCCGCATCGGCTTCTGCCGCCATCCATCCACTTATCCATCCACCCATCCCATACATACATACAGTATAGCTAGGCTCTCGCCCCTCGCCTCCCCGTCCCTCGCCCCCGTATTTTCGCCACAAGAGACACACACAGACACAGGGAGAGGGATTGAGGCGCAACCCCACATACGTACCTACACAGAACATGGTACCACACCCCGGGGAACTTGTGGACTGACTCGCGGGATATGATGTTTGTTGCCAGTGCCATGTTCCTCCTTCGTCCAATCCCTGTCCCTTGGTTAGGGCTTGGCTTTCGTCGTTGTGTGGCTGCGGCTAGAGAGGGGAGGGGAATTTACAGGGACCCAGGGTGGTGGGAAGGAAGAAAACCCAGTACCTAGGTTAGTAGTCCTTAGTTTAGAGGGCAGCACATGTGGTGGGTGGGAAGTTAGGCTGGTTCTAGAGGGATTGGGGGGGCGTTTGGTCCGTGAGTCCGGTCGGGCGAGGGGGAGGAAAACATGGGTGTGTTGCTTGGATACGTGCATGCATACAATGTAGATTGATGGATGGATGGATAGAGGGATGATGATAATGGATTATTGATTGGATTTAATTTTGTGACAATACAGGGACAATTGGTTTGTCTTTTGTCTTTTGTCGTATTTTGTTTGATTACTTGATTTAGTTCAGTTGGTTAAGTTCATTTGGACATAGGAAGCTACTACTAGCTATGATACTACTTACTACCTATCTGAGGAGGAGTTGGTGTAGGTTGGGGGCGGGCTGTCAAACTTGCTTGAGTTGGTATACACGGCATAAAGGGGGAAAAATGAAAACACTAAATCATCCACACACAACGGCAGGCAACTATGCAGGGCTAGCTAGCAAGAGAAAAAAGCTATCAATCACACTTTCAAACAATCCCCTCCCCCCTCTCATCAAACATGGTGGAGAAGAGGAGAAAAGAGGAGGTGTGGGGGGAAGAGGGGATCAAAGAAGGGAGACTAAATCCTGTCCGACAAAAAGTGTAAGTAAAGGAGAGTTATCAAATCAGGCTATACCCAACGACGGCACCATCCCCTGTTCCTCCTTGTGCTCACTGCCCACCCGGTATGACACTCGGTACCGCATCTTGATCGAGTTGCCCTTGCCCCCCGCTACCCCGGAGATAAGCATCTCCTGCTGCACCCCATTGTTCTGCAGCGGTCCAATGTCCCGCCCGGACTGCGGGCGGAGTTGCAACGTGTATGCCTGTGGGAATTGTTTAGCTTCTTCCTCTTCTGTCCGTTGGTTTTCGTGCCCTGTCCGAAGGGAAGCGGGCAGAACTTTACGACTCACCTTCTCCACAGCCACCTGGAAGTGTAGTTCGTTCAGTGGCTGGCTCGTGCCGTTCGAAAACAGGGCCACCACATGGATCTGCTGCGACTGCTGGGGGTGTCGCCGCGCCACAAATTCAATTCGGAGTGCCGAATTCAATACCGATACCCGGTTGGTGCTCGGTAGCGTGTTGCTCTCCGGCAGCGACGATGCAAAGTTCCATTCGTCCTCCTCTGCCGCCTTGCCGCTGCTGCCAACCGGTTGCATCGGTCCGCTTCCTGCCAGATCGAGCAGGGACCCCCCAGCGGCTGCATGACCGGCTGCAGATCCTCCAGACGGGAGGGGACTGGCATGTCGGGGACTAGCGGATACCAGCGAAGCGAATGGGTCGACAGCCGGTGGGGGAGTGGGCGTTGCGACGATGCTCTGGGGTCGTGCACTTGGCACCGGAGTGGCTGACTGAGATGGCGGTTGAGAAGAGCTGCCCAGCGAGGACAAGATGTCGTAATTCGGCTTGAATCCAGCAGGAGCCTGCGGTACTGGCGGTGTAGCAGTGGTCGTGATCGCTAGCACGAGCATTAGCCATGTCAACTCTTTCATGTCAGCAGCAGATGTCTCCTACATGGTCCTAACGAAATACCACCCACAGCCGGAGCGGGTTCATCGATTGACAGCCCCAGCAAGTCGTTCTCCAATGAACTGGCCCCGGTCGCGGCCGGCGCACCGTTGCCGTTGGTACTGGCACTGGCAGGAGGTTCCGGGTCGAAGTCGATAAGCGACAACTGGTTGTTCGCGTTCTTCGATACACCTGTTGTCGTGCCCAGTGTGCCCTTGGGGATCCGTGTGGCGGCTTCCCAGTCGCCCTTCTTGACGAGCTTGTACCGCTCGATGGTCCGGTGTATGCTATCATTGATCTCGAGCAACTTGTGAACCGCCTCCGGATCATCCGACTCCTCCTCGCACATCTTCTGGATCTTGGGATGGGCACTCTGCAGCGCCCCAGCCAGTTCCTAGCAACCCGACAGTCAGTTGACAATCAAACGAGACACAGCACGCAACCCCAAGCTTACCTCAAACACATCACCCTCCGCGACCGGGTCACCAGGCTGGTGACTCTGTAGCATTTCCTCCAAGATCTTCGCCTTCTGCTGCACCTTGGCGACCTCTTCCGCCGCCTTGGCCCGGTAATCAGTCTTGTGTCTGTTGTCGTACCCGGCCATGACCTTCATCAGACGATTAGCCTCCTGCAGATCCGCAGGCGTACCCCTACGAATCAGCTCCTGCAATTTAGCCGATTGGGCCTCTTTCTCCTCCTCCTCCATCTCCTCCGCGGACCGCAGATTCTATTCAAATACCACTAGTCAGCAACTCTCCCTAGAACCAGTGGGGGCGGGATCACGCACATCACTCGGGTTCAAGACGGCCGCATCCTCATGGCGAATTTCCGGAAACACATAACCTTTGTACAGTAATAGCCGATGCATGTCACGAATATGACCTAGATCCTCCTTGTAGCGCGATGTCTGGCAGATCGTCTGTCTCCACTCCTCAATGGACTCGAGGATGCGATGTTGCACCCGAGTCGGCCGCAGCTGCGGGCGCTCGGGGAATCGACGAACGAGCTCATTCAGAAACTCTTTAGTGCTAATTTGGAGGTGAAATGGGTAACCGCAATTTTTGACGCAAATGTCGAGAAGCTAAAAGGGTGACAAGAGTCGCAGAGGTGGAATGTTAGCCCCGCATTCAGGCACATCTAAGCTCCATTCATTATATCTGGACAAAAGCCTACCGCCAATGCTAGTAACGCCACATTCTGATTCCGCGAGTTGATTAGATGGACGATTTCAAAGGCAGCTTCGCGAGGTCTAGAAGTGTGGAGGGTTGAGTGGGTTAGTTGAACGGCGCGGGTCGGTGGACGCGACACAGTAGTTAAGTAGCAACTCACGCATTGCCCTTCTTGGAGTTGATCAGATCGGCCACTTCAAGGTTCAGGGCGAGGTTGGGTTCGTAGTGCGACAAGTCGCAGGCATTTCCTGTAGCAGTCGTAAATATTTAGCCAACCAAAAAATCAGAACAAAAATGTATTGGCGTGTGTGTTGCTTTTTGGGAGGGACAAGAACAACAGGGGTGACGTACGAACAGCCCGTTGCAGCGGTGTTAAGCCCGGCTCAGCGTAGGCACCGAAACGGTCCCTCGCTGCCATGCGTGCTGAAGCGGCCTCCAGGGTGACGGTGGATTATGTGTAAGATGGAGAAAGGGGAGGGAGAAAATTAACAAGCACAATTGAAATAAAGGGAGTCAGTCGAACAGGACGACTCAGGGCGGAGAGTGAGGGGAAAGGACCGGAGACAATAGAAAGAGAGAGTGAGAGAGATAGAGAGGGGATGAGTTAAGTTAGTAGCTCGAAATGGAACCAACCGACTTGGTTTACTTGCCCGACTCACTCCCGCTGGCTAGTTCGTTTTCCCACTCCACGTGTGGCGCCCGCCGTCATCTTCAACTTTCCCCTCTTCAATAATTTTCCGCAGTTCTTCAATCACCTCCACGGTCACGCAAAACACCAATAACAACAACACATACTCACCATGGTCCGCCATAAAAAAGACAACTTCGCTCGAGGAGGCAAGAAATTCTCCTCCAAGGGGCCCCCCCGTCCTCCCCGCCGCGATCCCGCCGACCCTGACGCCGATGATGCCGACCGCCCCTCCAGACCTCCCTTCAAAGCCGCCTGCTGGGATCTGGGTCACTGTGATCCCAAGCGCTGCTCAGGAAAGAGATTGATGAACTTTGGTCTGATGCGCGAGCTGCAGATCGGTCAGCGATTCCCAGGTGTAATTGTCTCGTACGTTGTCACCCATCCCACCCTATACAACAATCACCAACAAAACCCCAACAACTAACATCCACATCACCACTATTCAGTCCCAACGCAAAGAAAATCATCTCTCCAGCCGACAAAGACCTCCTCGAACAATTCGGCGCCGCAGTAGTAGAATGTTCCTGGGTGCGAGTGAAGGAAGTTCCCTGGTCGCGAATCGGAGGGAAATGCGAACGACTCTGTAAGACCCCCGATTTGACAACCCATACCGACATCACGAACAATAATACTAACACATCAATTCTGAAATGAAAATAGTACCCTACCTCATCGCCGCCAACACAGTCAACTACGGCAAACCCTGGCGCCTAAACTGCGTCGAAGCCCTCGCCGCCTGTTTCTGCATCTGCGGTCACGAAGACTGGGCCCGCCAAGTCCTCAAACCTTTCCGCTACGGCGAAGCCTTCCTCGAAATCAACGGAAAACTACTCAAGCGGTACGCTGCCTGCGCCGACGAAGACGAAATCAAGCGCGCCGAGGAGGAATGGCTCGCCAAGATCGAGCGGGAATACGAGGAGAGTCGGGCCGCGGGCGGCGCAGACGATATTTGGACGGTGGGGAATACGAATCGGAGGGCCGAGTCGGATTCCGAGGAGGATGATGAGGAGGGTTCGGGCTCTGATAAGGATAACAATGATGAGGAGGAAGAGGAAGAGGAAGAAGATAAAGACCCCTTTGCGATATCCGACGACTCGGAAGAGGAAGAGCAAATGGCTGCTATTCGGGCTAAAATCCTGAATTCCAAGTCGTTTCAGAATCCCTCGGCTTCGGATAAGCCGCAGCCGGAGAAGATTGCGAGACCGGAGGAGGAAGGATCGAAGTCGAGGCCGTTGGAGGATTCAGATGCTGAGTCTGGGTCTGCGGAGGGGAGTGAGGATGAGGCGTTTGATAGTATAATCAATGCGACGCCGGTGACGGATCGGACGGGGATTATTGCGGCGCAGAAGAAGAAGGAGAAGGAGACGTTTAGTGCGTCGTTTTCCAGGACGGTGGTGGATGCGCCGAAGAGGTGGTAGTGGATTGAATCTTTTTTACTCTTTGGGAATGGATTGGAATGGACTTGGACGTTACAAAAGTTATGATATGAGCATGCATCTCATGGGTACATATAACTAAATAGGCATGAATATAATGAATGATACCGTGATGAGATTTACTACTATGGATGGATTAAGTAGTTTGTTGATCGATTGATGTAGATTTATCGGTCTTTCTTTTCTCGTTTCTTTAATATAAACAGCGAAAAACCAACCCCGTCCCGTTCATTGCTGTCCCCGTCCCAGTCACATACAATGCATGCAAAGCATAATGAGGCATCTCAGACATACTCAAGGCGATCATAACCATCTCATGCTCAGCGAGAAGGGGGTGAAGGAAAGAAAAAAAACAATAAATTGACTGAAACCCTTTTGCCCTATTCCGAATGAAGAGAAATGACTACCCCCTGCAAGCACCCCGCAAAATTACAAAGCAACTATTTACATAACATAGAGCACATTCACGTCTAAATGATTCCGTCAGAAAATTCCATCTTCCTAATCACGAAGCGACAGGCGACTGCTTACCCAAGGGATGGCTGCAGCTCAGCTGCGGCTTCTGCGTATACTTGGTGGACAACTCGTCTCGGATGCTGTTCAGCAGCTGGACGTAACTCTGCTGCGGGTTCTTGCGAAGCGCGCTGATAAAGGCCCAGGACATGGCGCCGGTAGCCTGGCCGGCGATCTGGGCGTCCTGACTGGTCTGGTCGTCCTTGCTGCCGGACCACATGATAACGTCGGCTGGACTGGTCTTGGTCTGGATGGTGCGCTCGTACGCCTCGTCGCCCTTGGTCGCCTTCTTGAAAAACCCAACGGCCGTCGACATCATGCCGCTCATGTCGCCACGCGCGTAAGCCGAAACCACACCCAGCAGGCCCTGGCCCGCCTCCTTGGCCAAGTTGGGTTCCTTGAGGATACCCTGGGTCGAGTAGATGTAGGGCAGGTCGAGTGCGGAACCCGAGTGGCAGGAGTCGAAGATAGCCGTCAGTCGGACACCCGGCTGCAGCGGTTTGACCATGATTCGGTGCATCTCATCGTCAACAATGTGGCCGGCAGCCCGGAAATCGACCGGGTAGATAACTTCGTCGTATCCGTCGTCTTCGTCGCCGTCAAGGTCAGGCGTCTGTCCACCGTGTCCTGCTATTGTCAGAACCAATCCAGCAAATCGGAGTTATGAGAACGGCATACCAGAATAGTGGAAGAAGAGCGAATCGTTCGGCTGGGCATCCTTGACGAGCCAGTGCATAGCCCGAAGGATGTTAGCCTTGGTGGGTTGACTCATGGGGTTTTGTTGATCATCCGTCAGGAGGACCATGTCTTCGCGAGCGTAACCAAAGTTCTGGTTTAGGTAGGTGGACATGTTCTTGACATCGTTGATACATCCGCGCAGCTGGCCCTTCTGGTTGAAGTAGTTGATACCGATCAGCAACGCCTTTCTCTTGCCCGTGCAGCGCGAGTACTGGAAGTTGTAACCCTGCGGCGCGCCTTGGCCGAAGCTGACGGGTTCGCTGGGCGGCGGCGGAGGGGCGCTGTGGTTGCCTTGGTTGTAGGAGTTATGGTAGACATCGGCGATACCTGATAGAGGCGTCAGGTGGGATAGAAGCTTGCACAAGACATCGCAGTGACATACCTGGCCGGCCCCCATACATCGGGCCTTGGCTGGCAGAAGGATAGCCACCCTAGACAAGCGACGTCAGCTTCCACCCATACCCACCAACATGCAGAACAGCGACGCATCATGCAAGACATACATTGTATCCGTTTTGAGGGGGTTGCGATCCTTGGTACTGCTGAGGAGAGGGCTGGCTGTAGGGGTAAGGGTTGCTGGGAGGCTGCTGTTGACGATAAGCCTGGCCGGGGTAACCACCGCCCCCGTAGGACGAGTGGTGGTGTGAGTGGTGAGGATTCATCTGTCTGCCAAAGCTACGTCAGCGCGACGTCTCGAAGTAGCGATTTCGTATTTGTGATGGAAATTCTGAAGAGGGACTGAGAGTTTATGGAGAACAAAATCTCACGAGGGGAGCGAGCAAGGAGATCTCACGGTTGCTGATATTGGGGCGGGGAGCCATAGCTCTGCTGCGGAGGAGGATAGGAATATTGCTGCGGAGGGTACCCGGGCGGGCCCGAGTAAGGTGGATAGTAGGACATGATCTGACAAGAAAGAGGGGGGGGAAGAGAAAAAAGATCAGGTGAAACCAGAAAAAAGGTTTGATGTGAGGATGGGAATGCAAGCCGGCAGGAAGCAGACAAATAAGAGGTGAGTGAACGAGGGACGGGGGGGAAAGGTGGAAGGGAAGGATGGAGGAGGAACAAGAAAAGGCGCAGGCGTCAGTCAGTCAGTCAGTCAGATGGGGAACCGATGGCAGATTCGCAGCATAAGCCAGTGGAGCGGATCGCGCCGATTGGGTTCCGGACCGGGGAGAAAGAAGGGGGAGAATCAATACAGAAGAAACAAATAGCAATACTAGATACTAAGTAATAAAGACCCAAATCACTGGGAAACTAAAACTAAAAACTAAAACTGATGGGCGGTTCTTACTCCCCGAGGAAAGGCACGACTAATTAAATTAATATGTTAATGGTCTCCCTGCACGACGCACGTCCATCCATCCTTCCTTCCACTCGGTCCCTCCGGCGCAGAAAAACAAAGCATGCCTCGGTCTCCCCGAATCCCTTCTTTGCTCTCTTTTTCCCTAAGGAGTCTTTTCTGCCATAAGCAAATAAACGAACATGCCCAATTTCAGACAGCCAGCCAATTCCTGCATTCCCCATGTCTTCCCCCCCCCGATCCACACCTTAAATAGCACGGACTTGCCTATCCACCCCCTTGGGCCCAGAATACTCATCCAGAAAATTCCCAATCATCCCAATCTCTACAAAGTAGATCTTCCATCATGCACAATCCCTGCGTGTTTCCTGCTTGCTGCACGTGACTGTGCAACAACCTGCTAGCTACACCGAAGAATGAATAGTTCCCATACGTAAGTAGGTAGTAAACAGACACCTCAGGCACTAATTATAAACAACTCAAATTTTCCCCTTTATAGTTATGGGAGATTCGAAATTTGCTTTACTGTACCAGTGGTACCTCTCTTCCTCCCTCCAACCTATCCCAATCCATCCTTCGTCTTCCGACATTTACCGTCCGCGTCGGGGCATGCCACGTCCGCGGCCTCCTCCAAGCGCCCGCTGGGCAGCACCCGGCGGCAGGCCTCGTGTTGGGGCCTGAGCTTGGGCCGACTCTTCGTTCTCTGGAGGGGGAAAAGAAAATCACCATCGGTCAGCCTAAAGGATACTATAGGGCTTGGGGATGACACTATATCACTGGGGTACTCACTGATCGTCTCGTCCACACTCAAGATCAAGCATGCAGCCTCCACTGCCGCCTGAATGGCGTTCACCTTGACCAGACTGGGCTCCCACACGAAAGCCGCCATGTTGTCCCGAACACCCTCGTGATCAAAGTCGACACCAGCCCAGGTGTTGCCCTTGCGGTGCTCCACCCGCAACCGGTTCAGAATGTCCGTCGCATCGAAACCTGCGTTATCGCACAGCTGGCGGGGGATCACCTCCAGGGCCTTGGCGAACGCCTTGACGACCGCCTGCTGCTTGTGGGGCACGTTGCGGTCCGCAAAGCCGTGCATGAAGCTGGACAGTTCCATCTCGGTGGCACCACCACCCGCGACAATGGTCGTGTGGCGGAGAGCGCGCTTGACAATCATGATGGCATCGTGCAGACTGCGCTCGACCTCGGCGATGAACTGCTCCGCTCCACCACGCAGCACAAGGGTGCAGGTCTTGGCCTTGGGGCACTCGGAGAAGAGGTTGTAACGCTCACCACCGATCTGGCGCTCCTCGAAAATACCGCAGGTACCCAGGTGACGTTCCTGGATGTCGCTGCAGGTCGACTGGGTAGCCGCTCCGGTCGCCTGGCAGACCCGATCCATATCATCGGCCGCAACGCGACCAGCGCAGAAGATGTCCCGATCCGCAAAGTATCTGTAGACAAGGAGAAACAAGGTAAGCAGGTAGACCAATTGCCAGGAAAGAGTAAGGGAGAACATACTGCGTAGCCAAATCACCGATGGGGAGCTTGCTGAGAACAACCTTGGCTCCGGTCTTGTAGATAGCCTCCAGCTTGTTGTAGATGATCTGCCACTCGGCATCGACGATGGCCTGGTACTCCGACACATGCTCGACGCGCACCTCGGCGTTGTCCTTCTCACTCTTCAACTCCAGCTCGACGTTCAGGCAGACAATCTTGGGGTCCTTGAAGTACTTGGGCTGTTGCTCGAAACCGGCGTACGAGAAGGTCTTCTTGAAGGCGACACCGTTGACGAACAAAGATTCCTGAAGACCACCACCAGTAACCCGCTTCACACCGATCAGCTTCTCGTTAAGGTCGTCCTGGTCGAGCGACAGCACGGCATCCACCACCACTAGGGTATTTAGTCAGCATTCGTTCCCACGAACAACACAGCACCCATGGATAGGGGGGAACCCCTTACTCTTGGTGAAGAAGTCCGAGTTCCGCTTGATCAGCTTGCTGTTCATCGCCGTTCCGGCCAGACGGCGGAGCGTCTCAACCTTCTTTTCCTCGCTTCCCGCAGACTCGATCACGTCCACAGCGATCTCCTTAATCTTGTTGACGGCCATCGCACTTCCCCTCCGTAGACCCTTGACGATGGTCTGTGAACTGACACCCTGCTCGACAAGTTCGCGAACTTCCTTCAGAATTTCACCGGCGAGGACGACAACCGACGTTGTTCCGTCGCCCACCTCAGCATCTTGAGAGCGGGCAATGTCCGTGAGAATGCGGGCGGCGGGGTGAACGATATCGAGAAGCTAGAACAGAAGACAAGGACAAGTAAGCTCACGAAGTAGAACAAAGTAAGAATAAATATTGCCTGGAGTCTTCCGAAGGAAAGATATGAGAGTTTGTTTCGAGACGCACCTTCATCACAGTAGCTCCATCGTTGGTGATAGTCTGTCTACCGTTGCCGTCCACCATCAACAGGTCCCCTCCATAAGGACCGAGAGTGCTCTTGATCGTGGATTGCACGGCAACACAGGCATTGATGTTGGAGATGATCTGACCCTTGCCCTGGGAGGTATCGGTGCCTGAAGCAAAAGAAAACAATCAACGGAGTCAGCAAAATCTCTCAGCGATGACACACAGATGCCAATGCAAATGCGGGCGGGTTGACGGACCCTCCTTGAGCACGATGATCGTGGGTGCTTGGCCAGCGAAGGCCATTTTGATGAGATTATTTCAGGGAAAGAGGGCGGAGAAAAAGGAAGTTTCTGAGCCAACGGACAAGGGGCTATAGAAAGATGAGATCGTGGCCCTGAGTGTCCTAGCTGGTTGGGGGTTCGATATCGCTGCTCGACCAAAATTTCCCCGAGCTTCTTTGGGATCGAAACTCTCCAGTGCTGGAGGCGGTGACCAATCATGCCGCGCCCCGCAGCCCTATTTGCTGCTTTTCCCCTCAAAACCACTTCCTTGACATTAAGAAAGTCTTATAATGTGCGTATATCGAATGTACTATTCCTAGCAAATAATTGTCTTGCTTTATGCTCATATTCTTTTGCTGTATAAGGTCAAGTTCTCATCATCTGAGGCCACTTCGTCCACCACATCCCTGAACCGTTCCTCTGGTCTCATCATTTGAACCCCACCAGATTCCTGTATAATTCGAATACAGCTTTGACAAGAATACTTTCTCGAGACATTAGACCGGGGTGCTGGCATAACACTATTTACTCGACTTATGAACACTATAGAGTCTCTCTTCAAAGTGCTACTATGGTCATTCAATTCCATCATGATGGCTTCCAGGTAGCCGCTCAGATATGTAGCAGAGTGGTCGGGTTGGACTTTTGAGTAGTACTATGTTGATGATAGTAGTAGTACTACTTACTCTATAGTGCATGGGATTTCATATGTGGTATTCGCTACTGAGATCCTAACTGATCCAAACAATAGTGAACAAGTCTATTTAAGTGATAACCCGCGATTGCCATTGATTAATCTCTCATATGCTCGCTGGAAGGTCGAGTAGCATTACGTCTACCGCGTTGGTTACTAGTATAACTCTCACCAGCTCGCTTACGGATGCTCACATCTTGATACAATCGTCTTGAGGGCAGTTTGTATGCAGGCTGTCGCAACCGCTAGACTGATCATATTCGGCGGTAATGGACGTGGTTTTTGCCGTCTCTCTACCCCATGTTCAAGGCTACACGGGTGGTGTATCCTTAGCGCAGATTCCCCTCAATCGCCCCTAACCAGCAAATAGAAGCTAAACATGAGCAGGTATAGGGTAAATATCCAGCCGTGTGTTTCATTTCAAGTTCGTGTGAGATTTAGTAGAGACGCATTGTACGCGGACCGAGCACAGAGAAGTAATGCATAACCGAGATTACCTAGGCTGGCTCAGCTGAAGCGGCCACAGCTGAAGTCGATCGTCTAGACCATAAATTGGGAATAGCCTGCCGATCGACCCAATTATCCAAGCCAATAATATACAGGAGACAGTGTCTCGAGAAGCGCCGCAAAATGTTCAGCAGTAGCTGCGACCGCTAAACAGGGGAGGGAGTGGATATGGCACAGGTTTGGGGGAAAGTGGCGCATCTATAGTTAGGACTTGGAAAGAGAAATCAGAGAAATTTGAGAAATTTAGCCCAGAACTCTGATTATTTCCGTCAGGAAAACTAGATCCATGGGCTTGTTGTATAGTAGATCAAGATAATGGATGCGACGTAAAACGCATTTCTGCGCGACATAGGGAGACATCTCTGTTCTAGACCTCGAGTTGCAGATGCCTTGATGCTGATCGTACCTGTCGAATGGAATAATGGGAATTCCAAGTTGAAATTGACGTAGTTGTATCTGTTTGGGCATTCTGATTTACCCTAAGAAGCTTTCAATATGTTGTGGGGAGTAATGCCACTGGAGAATCACTGCGCGAGTGTCGTCCACATCCATGGCCATGGCTATGATTTCTAGCCCGAGGTCCGTGATCCATACCAACACATCCTAGTAATGCTGACTGCCTCCTGGTTTTGTAGTGCTCTTCTAGTCTCCTTTGACCCGAGTCAACTGATGCGTTCTTTTCTCGCGAGGATTTCAGCTAGGCAACTCGCATTTGTCCGAGAGATCTTTTTCTGGGCTTATCTATTGATTAGGATTCCTGACTATAGTTTGCCCAGCATATGGCCAGATAGTCCAAGGTTTGACCATATCCGAAATATCAACTAACTAGTGAGCTGCGTAGAACGTCCCTCAAGAGAGGTGCTTTCCGTACAAACGTCACCGACCCGTAACCAGAGTGACAATTCAGAAGAGTCCCCAAAAAGTAAATCATGCATTAATTTATTGACGGATGTAAAGGGAGAGCGGCCCAAAATCGGAAACAGATCCCAATGTAGGTGATCATTTGTGCGATTGCCCTTCTGACGCCAATATCGATCAAGGAACTTGTGTCTAGTAAACCCCATGAAGTCCTCAACGAAGACGAGAGATATAAAAGACAGATATTGACTCCTCCCAGTGGTCACAACGAAATGTATCTATAGCTTGTAGATCGTAAGCAGGTCTACCATGACATAGAGTTTGTGAATGTTACACGGCAAGCTCATGCGTTCTTGACAGGTCCACAGGACAGTGCCAGTACACCCAAGAACAGGGTGAAACAGAGAGGACTTACATCCCATAATAGCCAAGGAAAAAAGACATACAGTATTCAGCATTGAATTTCCCAAGGTAATAGCTCATGCACATCTCACTTGCCTGGGTTTGTAAATTGTTATGGCTAATAAAGTTATATGCCTTCAAGAAGCGAGGCAAAAGAACAGACGCTTGTGGCGCATCCAGGGCTCTCGGTTGCGAGGATCTCAAAGATAAACTTGCACAGCTTCAAATACAACTGGCATGGTGGATGACCTAAACCGACTACAGCAGATAAAAGTATTACTGGAGTTGCTTTTCGAGGAATGTAGATCATGCAGGTCAGGTGATGTAGAAGCGTCACCCACATCTTTGGGCTCTTCCCCTCTCTACTACATCCTCGTTTTTAAGCTATTGGCCGAGCGACCAGACTTCATCCGAATCAGTCCGAATATCATCAATCAAATTGTGTCTTGAATACCCTTACTGAGCGACCAGACCCCACAGCTTAGCTTTATATGTCTATGCCTAGCTCCTCCCCAGTGTAGTTCTCCTGCCCTCGCGATAGTATGTCAACCACAGATTTACCCCAGTATTATCCGAACAACTTGACCCCGCTAGATATCAATCAAGAAACCCTGGAAAACGCTCTCAAAGAGTTGCAATTTGCCGTGAATCGTGGTGCAACTTTATTGCAGGAGGGTTGTCCTCCTCAGAGCGAATGGGGCAAAACCTACAACACGGGTTTATACGTGGGATTTCCAGGTATGCGTATAGCTTTCACACTGTTGGCGGTTGAGTGATATGCTTAATCACAACATATCGGCAAGTGTAATCTGATGGATCTTCCCTTGCAGGAATTGCTCTTGCTTTCCTCCGACTGGACCATCAGGTCAAAGCGTTCAGCAACAAAGATGTCGGACTTCCTCTTGACTTTCGCAGACTTGCAAGCGAGCAAATCTTGCCACATGGCCCTGACATTCCACTTTTGCCCGGAAGAGTAGCACCTTTTGGCTCCCCAAGTGTACTTGTGGGACCTTTGATGCGGATTCTTGCAGCTGCGCAATCCGGTGCATCCATGTCCGAAGCTGATATTGAATGTCTCAGAAATGTCGTACAAGTGGCAATCGGAAATCCCCACATGCTACCACATGGTGATGGAATGATGGGTACGGACGAGGTTTTGTATGGCCGAGCGGGTCTACTGTGGGTTGTACTGAGCGTGAGAGCTCACAAGTATGACGAGAGGGCCACGGGCCTTCTGACGTCCATCTTTGAGTCTGTTCCGGATCTTGTTGATGCTATAGTCAAAGGTGGGCTTCAAGGCAGAGAAGACTATGTAGAGGAGTATGGGGAGAGAAATGCTTTGCCGTTGATGTGGCACTGGCATGAAGATCGGTATGGCTTAGGAGCGTGAGTAATGCCCCCACCATCAGCACAAATGCTGAGCAACAAAACGGCAAATCTAACATATCTGACTAGGGTACACGGGATGTGTACGTTACGTCTATGTAGAAAACCTCGGGGTATATTCAGCTGACAAGATTTTCTAGCCGGCATACTCGCGGCCCTCCTAGCCTGCGACCCTGAAGAGCTCAACGACGGTGCTTCGCGTGATTACCTGCCCCTGATAGCGGAAACAATCACCAGCCTTTGCAAGATATGCATCGCTCATGATGGCCACCTCCCAACGACTCTTCCCGATCGTGGCCCTTCATCCAAGCGCTCCTCACCTCTCGTCCAGATTTGCCATGGTAGTCCCGGCATCTTGACCCTTATGGCAAGCGCCAGGCGGAACAAGCCCCTGATCTCTAACTTCTGGCAGCCAGAATGGGATATAGCAATTCGCTTGGCAAGCGAACGGGTCTGGGAAGAAGGGCTACTTTCCAAAGGCGGCGGGATCTGTCATGGCATTACGGGCAGTGCATGGTCATTGTTGCTTCTGCACGACAGCTTCGAGTATGATAAGGAAGAGATGCAAGCTGCTAGGGAGAAGTATATGGGGAGAACACAGACTACCAACGCAACAGTTTTAGATACCGGGCTCACTGGTGACTATTTCCTGTCGAGAGCGTTGGCGATGTTGTTGCATGTGCGGGAGACTCCTCCATACCAAAGTTCCGTCACGCCAACGTCTAACATCTATCGACTGCCTGATCGCCCATTTTCCCTCACAGAAGGCCTGGCTGGAGCTGTCTGCGCGTGGGCAGACGCATGTGTATCTGTCCAGATGAGACTGCGAAGCATGCTTCTGCAGAAGAAGTGGCCGGACAGTTCTTCATCTTTGAAGTCAGATCCAACCTTCCAAGATCTCGAGAGCTTGAAATTGGGAATTCCAACGCTTGCTTATCACCGGGCTACACCTTTGCCTTGAGAAGTGAATATGAGAGCGTTCCTATTGGTTCTGAGCTTACGAACAAGTTGTAACAACCGCGAAGTATGTATGGGAATCCTACATGTATGTCGCTCAAGCACAAAAATCATCGCTCCAAATATTCAACATAGGGGAACATGATGCTAAAAGGCTCCAAACTCCATGCTCTTGAATAAACTCCAGTCGCTGATAAACGAGAGTAAAATCGTAACCTCGATCAAAAATCACTAACTTGTCTCATACGGGCCTAAAAAAGCGTAAACCCCGTGCGATACATGGGTGGTTGTCCCGGAAATTCAGTCCTGTACTCGACACGTTTAGGCAAGTAGTTCCCACTTGGAGCTTCCACAGCAACTCTCCATCTCCGCCAGCAGTTTGAAAGCTGGTGATTTCTATCACCACAGAAGGTGCAACGCATCTGCACCGGTCGGTGAACAGGCCCTCCCTGCATTGGTTGACTGTAACTTCGATTCCTTGTAGCTTGCTCCCGTTCTCGACGCATCTGTTCGACCACGTAGTCATTGATTTCCTCCTGACTGGGCCGCTTAGCATGTCCTCGGATACTTCCACTGCGATTACGGAATGCCTCATCCTTATGCATCTGTTTGACAACGAATGCGTTGATCTCGTCCTGAGTGAGAGCGCGAGGATTTTCCGGAACCTTCAATGGCGATGCAAACCCTCTCTTGGCAGCACCATGATCACCACCCCATGCACTCCTTCCCCGCTGCTGACGGATTTTCTCTTGCTCCATGGCCAATTGGGCCAGCTCCTGAAAGGTCACCTGCTCTGCAGGATTGGAGGAGCACATCCGACCATCTCGCAGCATGGCAGATGCCCAGTCACTCCAATCAGGACATTCCTTGAGCTTTGTCAAGAAGAGCATATTGATCTGCGAATCGGGTATATAGGAATCATCGTCAATTTGTGTAAGCCCTTCGCGGATTGCTTGGATGAGTGCGACGAAATCGGCGATCATGTCGGACTTTTGAGGGTCAAGGTCGAGCACCTCGCTGACTTGGTGCATCCTGCGAATGTTTCGCTGCCATGGCTCCATTTTGGCCTATGGAGCAAAGGAATTGAGAATATGAGAGTAAGAAGAGAGAGGAGGCCAGTACGTATCAATTAAGCGCCGTGAATCAGTGGTTTTATTTGTCGGCGATGGTTTGCTGACCGTGCGGGGGATGACGTCAGAAAGAGGGCCGTACAATTACTGTATCCATACGATAACAGTGTCTTGTTCTTATCGTCGCTTCTGTTCTCTCCTTTTCTTCAGCTTTTATTCTCTCCTCTATGGTTGGGGTGCTACTACATTCCATATCCCACAGTAGGATGTCATTATCCACGGCACATTAGAGTATGGAGTTTCTTTGGCTCTATGGATCCTTCGGGCCTTCCCTCGCCCCATCGTGAACCGTGGCAGTGCCCGACGCCCATCTGCAAGTCAGCAGCATCTCTTTTGGGGGCCGCTATTCTCTTAGTTTCATTTGTTTAGCGGCGTGTGACAACCAGTCCAGAAAATTATCCAACCCATCATTTCTCTCAAATGTACTGCAGACTGTTTCTGCGCATCCTGCTAGCCTGATCTAGGACAAGGCTTAAAGGCCCCATCACCCGGGTGGAGAGAAGTCGCATCGCGTACAACTGTGACGATGGATACTGTGCCACCATCCTACCAAACCGCTACCACCAGAGACGCATGGTCGATTATAGCACACTACATTCCGTCAAGCGACCTATGCGCAGCGGTCTTGGTATGTCAGAAATGGCATGGTATCTTCATGCCCTTTCTGTGGGGGGATCCCGCTTCCCACTTTGGAACGGATAACGATGCGGTTTATGGTAGGTCTGAACCATCCCACGACTGTTTGATTTGACTGTTTGACGCTGACAAGACACACTAGTCGCTCTTACAAGGTTCAGAAGGACACTAAAATATGCCCGTCTTGATGTGCGGATGCTCACCCATACATTGCATCTGCCGCCTGCTCTCTCGGAGATTTATGGTGGTCCAAGACCTGAATGGCTAAAAGAGATTCTGGATGCTCTACCGTGCCTCCAGTCATTGATGGTTTCGAAGCTACCATTTTTTGACCACAATGCTATGACCGCCTTGAGAAGATGTAGCCCACTTGGAAATAATGACACTACTTCACAGACCTACAATGTCCGTCTGCTATTGGCGGATAGTGAGCCAAATGCGACATCACACGGTATCGCGGAGACCTTACTTCGCTTCCCTGAATTGATCTATCTTGATTTGTCTTACACCACCCCTGCGCGGGATCGCACGGTCCTGTCATCGCTATCACAGTTGGAAAACCTCCAGGTCCTCAAGCTTCGAGGTATCGGCTTAAAGGACAACGATGCAGAATTCCTGGCCAACGCCATCGGACGCAGAGTCCGATTTCTGGACCTGCGCAATAATCTGCTTACTGATATGTCGATACGGTCTTTATTGCAAGCGTCCTTCTTACCCCCTGGTGCTGAGGATAGAATACAACGAGCGACACTAGCGTCATTGGGATCCCTTGCACACTCTCCGCAATCGAGACCCTTACTGTTTGACAGGAGATTTCTTAGAACCCCGCTTTTAGATGAACAAATCCTGAAAGCTTTAACACAACCATTGACAGGCCGCTCCTGGGTTGAGGATTTATCCCATTCAGGCATAACACACCTCTATATCGCCGAGAATCCTATTTCTGTGGAAGGGGCCGCAAGTCTTTTGTTCTCATCTCGCCTGCACGCTCTGGATGTGGGAACCGTTGACACTATAGAGTCTATCGGAAGAAACCAGAGCTCTCTTGCTTCGCCTCAGGACGACACCCACAAGCTTCCTGGTGCTGAGAAATTGATTCCCATCCTGGGGACCGTTGCCAAGGGAAACCTCACCTATCTTCGAGCTCATCATGCCGTCTGTACAGTTGATGCGCCGTCAAGGGAGACCTCAACGGCGGACATGTTGCTGCCAGAGCTCCCTGCTGGGAATGAGAGTGAAGTGCGTACAGAGGCAGAGTTAGGTACGAACCATGAGATTTATGAACTAGCCTCAAATGAAGCACCGATTTTCGAGCTTCCTGGCTCACCAGTCCCGCAATCTCCGGACTGGCCTTCGCAGCCCGCCGAGCGGGGTCGAAAGCCAATCATCTATGAAGACGAACCACTACCTGACCTGCGACGAGGCTCTGTCTTCGCTCCCGAGGTGATCGGGGCAGACCAAGTCAGTGATGACGAGGGCCCGAGCAATACCTCTGCCGCAAGGGCATCAAATCGCTTGCCCCATGATATCTCCTTCTCTAGCATTTCAAGCATCTCGGTGGGTGCAGCGGGGTCTATCCCGCAATGTTCTTCTCCCCTTTCAGTCGAAGATTCTCGAGCCCAGAAGATCCAGGAGTTGCTTGCTAAGCGGCCGAAAAGTCTTCCTCGACGTGATAACAAAAGGTATTATTTTCCGTACCTGCATCCTTCGCATGTCCCTCATCTTGAAACATTGGTTTTGACCGACGTTCCATCTCACGTACCGCCGAACTCGCCGATCTTGGAATCTCTTATTCGATTTATAACCGCTTGCTCAAATGAAGCATCACTTGCAACCCTACAAGCCGGATCGGATTATTCGCTCGCACCTGGAAGAGCTCGAGCCAAAGCTGAACAAGAACGTGCCAGGTCTCTATTTGGTCTACGTCGCTTGGTGCTCGAAATTACACCTTCAGTTAGGTCCAACAAGTTATCTAGATGGACGCCAGCCAGCTACCGGGTAGGAGCTTCAAAGTCAAGTACCGGTGATCGCGATTCGGAGAAGCTATGGTCAGCAGCAATAGGCGACTTCAGCTTCTTTGACGAAGAAGAATGCGGAGTACCCGAAGTTTATTCAGGGAGATACTTCCCTATGGCAGCCTTGAACGAGAAAGTGACATTGATTCCAGAAGATGACGATGTTCACCCCTTACAGCCCGACATGGCTTCTTCACCAGGTATGCTTCATCCAGATCCTTTGCGCTCGAGATCAAACTCAGTCGACCCCACGACTACGCCTCGGGACATCCGTTCGCACAGCCCACTCTTGGACAAGGTTAGAGAAATGGGACCGCAGATTGATGTACCAGACGTTGATCTGGTCTCTGAGTTGGCAGCATTTCGACGTAGTAAAAAGGCAGAGTATGAGGAAATGCTGAGGAGAGATCGTAGAAGACGTGGTACTGTCGGCACTATGTCCTCTCGCTTCTCTCCTTTCGTCTCCTCCTTTCAAGCGATCTCGCCGTCGTCGAGCATAAATACGTTGGCGATGGCATCAGCGCCTCATTCACCCATTGCTCATTACTTAGAAGGACACTGGAAGGGGGAAGTGAAGATTGTCCGAAACCCAACGCCAAAGGGCCGAAGCGGGATGGTAGATATGTATGGAAACTATTTTGAGAAGGGCTATTTGTACCCTTGATGGAGCCCTTATATTGTTCGTGGCACTACTTACTGTCTATAGAGATCGCGAGCATGATACCCGATATATATTACTCTTTGACATATACATCGTAGACAATCACACACAGCTGACTGAACGATAGATGAGAGAGTATTCATAGTAGTAACACCATCGTCACGTTCTTTATGGTTATACTACAAGAACCAGAACTGCCAGTCGTCTACCATTCAATTATGGAGGTGTAGTATCAGGCCTACAACTAGGGCACACGGAGCTAGTACGATAGATAGTACACACCTCGCGGACAACCCCTCTAACAATAGTAGATCATATAGAGCAGATCCATACAATCAAACATCTCTTTCCTCTAGTATCTCTAGATAGCAAGCAAGAGACAACAGAAGTTTAGCTTAAGCAAAGTTCGTTCTTCGTTTTAAAAAAATTTGGTATAGAATTTCGTCTTTCACACACGACTCCGCGCGCATAATTCATTTCAACCCCGAAACTGAAACCCGTTCATTTCCATTTAAGAATTCCGCATAAAGTATAGTAAAGAAGTTATGGTGTGGTTTTTTTCAGACAACATAAAGAAAAATTATAAGAAGCAACAGTTAAGGGCCCCTAAACTAATTCCATTTTTCTTTTATTTTGAAATCGTTGTCATTTCCTTCCTTACATAGCCTTGGCGGCCTGAGGGGGGTTCAGCTTCTTGCCATCCTTGTTGTACCTGATACGAGGAGGGGGAGCACGGTTGCGACGACCTTCCCGGGAGCGGACACTATAGGAATTAGATTATTAGCTTTGTTTTGTTCTCGATTTCGATGATGGTTTTCGACGCATTCATCGTTGTTTTGGGTGGGTGGCGTACCGAACAATCTTGCCGTGGATAGCGCAGGAGACGCAGTACTGCAGCTTCAGGTACATCTTGGGGACGGCGTAGTCGGTGAAGACGGAGGCGTCCGAGATATCACCTATAGAGTTGGAAAAAAAGAACCAGTCAGTCCGGTGTTGTCTTTCAGGGTTGTGTCGAATTCCGTTCACTCGTGCGTCGCGCTGTTTGTATCGGTTCCTTCTTCTGCTCCCCCCCTTGTCGTATTCCGGTCGAGTTCATTTCGCTTCGATTCATTGCATACGCACACGCATGTAACACCCCCACTTCCCAGCTCTTTCGGAACGAACAGACAGCGCGCGCGGACGGTTTCGGGAAGAACTCAGATCAATGGAGGAAGATCGTGGAACGTACGGATGGCAGCGGACTCGACCATGTTGCGGATGGTGAATCTCTTGATGGCCTTGTCCTTGGGAGTGCAGCGAGCGCAGTTGGAGCAGCGCACGGGCTTGACGTGGCCGCGGCCGTTCTTGTTACGACCGCTGTAAAAGAGGTTAGTTTATCGGTTCCTTTTCTTTGAATTTGCGAATTTCCATGATTTCGATTTTGATTTCGCCATTTCTTCAATCTTCTTCATATTTTCCCCAAAATCACACAACACTGTACGGTAGCCGGGCCATTCTGCGGTAAATGTATGGCGAGTTTTTCTTTTCCGTGCGGCCGTCTTCATTCAGGTGTGCGTAGATTGTGTATATATGTATATATGGCATGTGGCATGTGGCATGGATGGGTGGGATAAGGAAAGGGTTCGGTCTTACTTGTTCGCCCTCTTCTTGACCATCTTGACGGATTTCTCTGCAGCAACGGGTCAGAGAATGTAAGTCAGGGAGAAGGGGAAGGGAGGTTGTCGCGTACTTGGCTGTCGGGTTTGGTTGTCGTAAAGGCTCCGGAGTCGTCTCTTCGGGATGAGGTTGTGTCGGGTTTGTGTGGTAGCCCTATGCCCTTAAGCGAGCTGGGTCACGGGATAGGTGGCCTCAGGCGGTTAATGCTGAGTTTTAGATACCTGAGGCATAAGCGGAGGGGTGACATCGGGAGAGTGGCGGACGGTGGCCTGACCGCCCCTGCCTCAGGCAATCGGGGAGAAAGTTGAAAAAGTTGGGTGATCCGACTGGCGTTCACGTGCCGTGTCCCGAAGTGGACTAGCGCACATGACCCATCCCGACCCAAAGTTACGGTACACCAATACGGTATTCTGTTTACTCAGGTCGAGTATTGTGAGTGGTCCCCGTGCCATCCCTCTTTCTCCCTGAAACTGTCATTAACAGCAAATAGTTCGGCCAGCCGAATCCACTTGGGATCTGCTTCTACCTTTTCCCCCCCCTGGGTTTGGCTTGGTGGCTGCTGGCTTGTCTGCCGTATCTTTCTCGTCCCTCCAGATCATCGCGTTGTGTCTCGCTCTCCCTCTTTTAGTCTTCTTCCTCTTCCTCTTCATCTGTCTTCCTTGCGTGACTTGTCTCTGGTTCATTACCATTTCTCAATCCTCGTTCGTCCTTCACGGGGGTCGTGTCTCCATTCCACCGCTCCGCTGCATTCTCCGCTCTCTCTTGACCGGTTCGTGAGACACAGACCTGCCAGCCTACCACAGGTCCGCCATTCCGGTTCGGCGCCATGTCATCCACACCCACTTTTAAGGGAACCATTAGCCACAAGACTGTCGGTAGAGGCAGGCTGCCCGACTTTGACAGTCACATTCCACGTCCTCGCCCAGAGACTTCCTCTACAACTCATACCCCCCAGACCGCGTCCAGCGACATTGGCAGTTCCACCATGAGTGCCGCCAGCAGCCGTCAGAGGCAAAACCAGTCCAAGCGCGATGAGGTATGGCACGCTTTTCCCCCTTTGGATTGTTTGCAACTGCCTCGGAGAAAAAGGAGGTGAACCTGGAAAAAATCTTGTCCTGCAAGTCGTTTCTCGGTTTTCGAAATTTTGATTGCTCAATGCCTCCCATTGACTTTTCTAACCACTCATGGACTTAGGCTATCCGACGAAAATTGGAGGCCGACCTCAACAAGAAGAGACATGCCCCGGCACGAGCAAACCGCTCCCGCAAAGCTCCCCCCGGTACCGTCCTCGCATTGAAACCTAGTCAAGCCCTCCAGATCAAGCCGAACACCTCCATCGCCGAAGCCGCCCAGTTGATGGCCGCGAAGAGAGAAGACTGCGTGCTTGTGACTGACGATGATGACCGGATTGCTGGTATCTTTACGGCCAAGGACCTCGCGTTCCGCGTGGTCGGCACTGGCCTGAAGGCGCGGGAAATCACCGTGTCTGAAATTATGACCAAGAACCCTCTGTGCGCGAGAACGGATACCAGTGCCACCGACGCTCTGGACCTCATGGTCCGGAAAGGATTCAGACACTTGCCGGTTATGGACGAGAACCAGGATATCTCCGGTGTTCTCGATATCACAAAGTGCTTCTACGATGCGATGGAGAAGTTGGAACGTGCATACAGTTCGTCGCGTAAGCTCTACGATGCATTGGAGGGTGTGCAGACGGAACTCGGCTCCAGTCAGCCCCAGCAGATCATCCAGTATGTCGAAGCGCTACGACACAAGATGTCCGGCCCTACGCTGGAAACCGTCTTGGACGGCATGCCCCCAACAACTGTCTCCGTCCGCACCACAGTCAAGGATGCCGCCGCCCTGATGAGGGAACATCACACCACTGCCCTGCTCGTACAGGATCAGGGCTCCATCACGGGTATCTTCACCAGCAAGGACATTGTGCTGCGTGTCATTGCTCCCGGTCTTGACCCTTCAACCTGCAGCGTCGTCCGCGTGATGACCCCTCACCCTGATTTCGCCCCCAGCGACATGAGTATCCAGGCTGCGCTCCGCAAGATGCACGGTCAGTTACTCCCATTACCCCCGCTGCGCTCGAGAGAAGAAACTAATGCGGGGATGTATAGATGGACACTACCTCAACCTGCCCGTCATGAACGATGCGGGTGAGATTGTGGGAATGGTGGATGTGCTGAAGCTTACGTACGCCACGTTGGAACAGGTCAGTAACAGCATGTTTGATAGTCTAGAAAATATTGTCTAACCTGCAACCAGATCAACACCATGCAGTCGCATGATGATGAGGGCCCGGCCTGGAACAAGTTTTGGCTGTCGATGGATCACGAGTCCGATTCCATGGTCTCGGGAAGCCAGCAGCCCGCGCAGCGGTCAGTACTCAGCCCTGAGTCTCCGAAGGCTAGTTATGACGCCCGAGACAGCGTTCTCCCCAACGAATCTGCTTCTCACCATGGCGGCGACGAGCACTCTGAATACCACGTGGACCCGCACCACGGAGAGCACGTCCCCTTCCCGTTCAAGTTCAAGGCTCCTAGCGGCCGTGTGCACCGTGTTAATGTGTTCCCCTCTGCTGGCATTGCTGAGCTGGTTGCTCAGGTGTCGGCCAAGCTGGGCCCCGAGGCGGATGCCGTGGGTGGCGTTCCCAGCTGCGACGAGGGCAAGCTGAGCAACACGGGCTACGCTCTGAGCTACCTGGACAACGAGGGCGACACCGTGTCGATCACCACCGACCAAGATCTGGCAGATGCCGTCAGCCTTGCCCGTCAATCGCACCGCGATAAGGTCGATCTCTTCGTCCACGACCCTACGCAGCCTCCTATTCCTGCTACGCTTGAACCCCAGCCGGTGCCAGCCCGGCCCATCGAGGAGAAGAGTCCCATCTCCGAAGACCGGTCTGAGGAAGAGTCCCTGGTGGCGAAGCCCCGCGCTCAGTCCTTCCCTGTACACCAGCCCGAAGAGCAGTTTATCGCCGGAGTGCCCAACGACCTGCTGCTTCCGGGTGCGATTGTGACCCTGGCGGCCGTCATTGCGGGAGTGTTCATTCTGAGCCGGGCCACTTCCCGGTAAAGCGATGTGCATCTACCTGTCCGTGATGAAAGAAAGCAAGTACCCGTGTATCTATTTCCTTTTCGACGTCTCCTTTCGCGTGTCATATATCTGTAACCCCAAGAGCGTTTCGTTTGTGTGACTAGTTTCCCTTATGCATTGGTCAATCTCCTTCCTTACATATGGTGGTGGCCGAAGTCCTAATTGTGCCTGTTTATATTGTTTCGGATACCGTTAAGTTCGTGAGAGCGTAAGGTTACAATAGCATGTTCTGCTCCCATTCGGGAAGCATACTTATAGACCACCCACCAGTACCGGACCATCGTCAGGGTCAACATCATGAGGGATTAGGTAATTAGCATATTTTGCATGATAGACATAATAGTTATCGGTATAGCCAAGGGACGTTCCTGGATGATTTACCGAATCCTGCAAGAGGGGTTAACTGCCTGGCTGCCTGAAGGGCTTGCCGGAAGGAGACTAGCGCGGCGGCCTTGGGGGGAAATTTTAGGATTTTGGGAAAAGCTGATTGGGGCGTCACGAGCAGAAAGCCGTGAATATTAGTTATTGCCTTAGTCTAGTATTATTGCAGTCACTTTTGACCTTTCTTCCCTCCTTCACCATCAAACATCCAGGCTCTTTTTCTCACTATCTTCTAAGCCTCGCGCTATTCACGGGCCCTCTTCTTTCTGTCCCCCCCTCCTGTTCACCCGCAGCTCTCTGTCCGGCTGCGATGCTGAGCTGGGATTTTACCCGCGCTGGTACTTATTCATATTGATTGATCTTCACTCTACTCTTTTTTTTTTCTTCCCTTTATTTTTTTTTCCTGGTTGGGTTGCCCGTTCATTGATTGACCTGTCTGGTTGCTTGGTGCCCATACCGCCCTCCCTCTTCCCCCTCGACTGGTCAACTTATTTCTTCCCCCACCAAAACAATTTCTCCTCCAAAGGGCCAAAAAAAAGTCCCTTTCACATCAACCACCACCCCACCCTCCACCACCTGGGTTCACCGCTGGACCCCGTGTCTCCTAATTTCCCGCGATCTTGGTGGTTTTCAGCTCGGGTTGATTGTTCACACTTGAGCTGTCAAAATGTCGCTACTCCCCCCCGAGGTCCACTCGGCGCTCTCTCAGCTCCTGCGCGCGCTGTCCACTCCCGACAACACCATTCGTGCCCAGGCGGAGGAACAGCTGAACAATGATTGGATTCAAGGCCGTCCCGATGTCCTGCTGATGGGCCTGGCAGAGCAGATCCAGGGTGCGGAGGATGTGCTAGTAAGTGCCCTGCTTGGCTTTTCCTCGGTGGGCCCTTGAAGGACGTTGGTCCAAGACATTCGAGTCGAAGATCAGCACCCCCGGATTATAACAAGCGTTATTTTGATCCCTCCGGACTAGTGGCAGTTGAAGGAGACAAAAAGGTGGTTCGCGTTCAGGTCGCTCATTGTTGCATCTCCCCCCAGACACGTTCTTTCTCCGCCGTTCTCTTCAGAAGAATCGCGACCAAGACACGAAAAGACCCCGTCACGAACGAGGCCAAGGAGCTCTTTTCGACCCTCACCGGCGAGCAGAGGTTGATCATCCGTCAGAAGCTCGTGACTTGCTTGACCAGCGAGTCCGTCACAGATACCCGCAAGAAGATCGGCGACGCCGTGGCCGAGATTGCCAGACAGTACACTGATAACGGTAGGCGCCGTGAAGGACCTTGATACGTGCTGGATCTTTCCAATCTGATACATGTGGCTTAGGCGACCAATGGCCCGAACTGCTCGGCGTTCTCTTCCAGGCTAGCCAGTCCCCTGACTCCGGCCTGCGTGAGGCCGCTTTCCGCATCTTCAACACTACCCCCGGTATCATCGAGAAGCCTCACGAGGAGGCTGTTGTCGGTGTGTTCAGCAAGGGTTTCAAGGATGACGTTGTCTCAGTATGTCAACACGGCCGTACCCCGGGCTTGAGGCTCCAAGCCGTATGCTGATCGCCGTGTGTACAGGTGCGCATTGCCGCCATGGAGGCCTTCGCTTCGTTTTTCCGCTCGATCGCCAAGAAGTCCCAGCCCAAGTTCTTCTCTCTCATGCCCGATCTGCTCAACATCCTGCCTCCGTTGAAGGAGTCGTCCGAGAGCGAGGAGCTCTCCTCCGCCTTTTTGTCTCTGATCGAGTTGGCCGAGATCTGTCCCAAGATGTTCAAGACCATGTTCAACAACCTGGTTACATTCAGTATTAGTGTGATTGCCGACAAGGACCTCAGTGACCAGGTCCGCCAGAACGCTCTCGAATTGATGGCTACCTTCGCCGACTATGCGCCCTCGATGTGCAAGAAGAACTCCGAGTTCGCTCAGCAGATGGTGACCCAGTGTCTGAGCTTGATGACGGATATTGGTGTGGATGATGAAGATGCTTCTGAATGGAATGCGTCGGAGGATGTACGTTCTGTTTCGTTATCTTGCATGGTTATCGTGGTGCTGACATATTACAGCTCGACTTGGAGGAAAGCGACCTCAACCACGTTGCGGGTGAACAGTGCATGGACCGTCTGGCCAACAAGCTTGGTGGCCAGATCATTCTCCCCGCGACCTTCGCCTGGATTCCTCGCATGATGTCCTCTTCTGCTTGGCGCGATCGCCATGCAGCTCTCATGGCCATCTCCGCCATCTCGGAAGGCTGCCGCGACCTGATGGTCGGCGAATTGGACCAGGTGTTGCGACTGGTTGTTCCCGCTCTTCAGGACCCCCACCCGCGCGTGCGCTATGCTGGCTGCAACGCTCTGGGCCAGATGAGCACCGATTTCGCCGGTACTATGCAGGAGAAATACCACTCCGTGGTGCTGACCAACATCATCCCCGTGCTTAACAGCACCGAGCCCCGTGTTCAGGCGCACGCGGCCGCGGCCCTGGTCAACTTCTGCGAGGAGGCTGAGAGAAAGGTGCTGGAACCGTACCTTGCCGATCTCCTGCAGCACCTGCTGTTGTTGCTGCGCAGCACCAAGCGCTACGTGCAGGAGCAGGCCCTTTCGACTATCGCTACCATCGCCGACTCGGCTGAGAATGCCTTCGAGCAGTACTACGATACCCTGATGCCTTTGCTGTTCAACGTCTTGAAGGAGGAGCAGTCCAAGGAATACCGCCTGCTTCGCGCCAAGGCTATGGAGTGCGCCACGCTGATCGCTCTGGCGGTCGGCAAGGAGAAGATGGGTCAGGACGCGCTGAACCTGGTGCAGCTTCTGGGCAACATTCAACAGAACATTGTCGACGCCGACGACCCGCAATCGCAGTACCTTCTCCACTGCTGGGGCCGCATGTGCCGCGTCTTGGGCCAGGACTTTGTCCCTTACCTCCCTGGTGTCATGCCGCCTTTGTTGACGGTTGCCGCTGCCAAGGCTGACATTCAGCTTCTCGACGATGAGGACCAGATCGACCAGGTCGAGCAGGATGAGGGCTGGGAGCTGGTGCCTCTGAAGGGCAAGATCATCGGTATCAAGACCAGTGCACTGGAGGACAAGAACACCGCCATCGAGCTCATCACGATCTACGCACAGATCCTGGAGGCTGCGTTCGAGCCGTATGTTCTGGAGACGATGGAGAAGATTGCCGTCCCCGGCCTTGCATTCTTCTTCCACGACCCCGTGCGGGTGTCGTCTGCTAAGCTGATCCCCCAGCTCTTGAACTCGTACAAGAAGGCTCACGGCGACCAGTCGGCTGGATTTGCCGGCATCTGGAACAAGGTGGCGGAGAAGATCATTGAAGTGCTCAGCGCCGAGCCCACAGTCGACACACTGGCGGAAATGTACCAGTGCTTCTACGAGTCGGTGGAGGTGGTCGGCCAGAACTGCCTGACCCAGCAGCACATGCAGGCTTTCATCGAGTCGGCCAAGTCGACGCTGGAGGACTACCAGGTCCGCGTGAAGGCACGTCTCGAGGACCGCGCGGAGGCGGAGGAGGGCGAGGAGGACAACCTCGACTACGAATACGCGATTGAGGACGACCAGAACCTTCTCAGTGACATGAACAAGGCTTTCCACTCCATCTTCAAGAACCAGGGCACGACGTTCCTGCCGGCGTGGGAGCAGCTGATGGCCTTCTACGATGCGTTCATCACCAGCCAGGACCCGACGCAGCGGCAATGGGCCCTGTGCATCATGGACGATGTGCTCGAGTTCTGTGGACCCGAGTCGTGGAACTACAAGGACCACATCATGCAGCCCCTGGCAGCCGGCCTGCAGGACCCTAATGCGGCCAACCGCCAGGCTGCGGCGTACGGTGTCGGCGTTGCTGCCCAGAAGGGCGGTGCCGCGTGGGCCGACTTTGTGGCGGCCAGCATCCCCAGTCTATTCCAGGTGACGCAGATCAACCAGGCGCGCAGTGAGGAGCACGTGTTCGCGACGGAGAACGCATCGGCCAGTATCGCCAAGATCCTGCACTACAACGCCAGCAAGGTGCAGAACGCTCAGGAGATTGTGGCCAACTGGATCGGCACTCTCCCTATCACATTCGACGAGGAGGCTGCTCCGTACGCCTACTCCTTCCTTGCGCAGCTGATCGACCAGTAAGACCCCGATTTGCTTCATAGTACTTAGTAATCATACTAACCCAGATTCAATAGACAAAACCCCGTGGTGATGTCCAGCGCCGACAAGGTGTTCGGACACATTGTCCAGGCACTGGAAGCGGAGACGCTGCAGGGCCAGACAGCTGGCCGGGTGGCCAACTCGGCGAAGCAGCTGGTGGCCGCGACCGGGCTGAACGCAGAGCAGATCCTGGCGGGAGTCAACCCGGACAACCAGGCCGCCGTGCGCAGCTACTTCCAGTGAGTCAATATACACCAGTTGGGGACGGGGTTCGGTTTGGGAAATGTTCATATGCCATGAGTTGAAATGAGATTTGCGATGTGATAAGGACAACAACAACAACCACCAATAAGGATATGGGATTTTTATTATTTTTTTCGACAGTTATTTTCTATATCTCTTCTATTGTTATGCTTTTATTGTTAAAGGTGTATAGCGGTTTTCATGAGAAGACAAGACAAGACGTGACGTAGTCGGGAGCCATAATAAGCCGAATACATACATAGTACTACATATACCATAAATCTTCTTCACTCCCAGTCAATCAATTCTATACTGTAGGATAAGTATATAAACAGAGAGAAAAAGAGATATAGAGAGAACTAAAGAAGGAGATAGACTAAGCAACCATGTCTAAAATCTCCAACACCTGCCCCTTCTCCTGCAACGACACCACATTCGCCCGACACCACCGATCACGCAGACTATGCTCCGCCAGCGCATCGAACTGATCCCGCCCCACCCCGACCGCCTGCAACGACCGCGGCAGCCCTAACTCTCTAATCACTGCGTCTAGCACATCTCCGAGATCAACTTCTGCTGCTTCTGCATAATGCTTACGAACCACCCCGGATACGCCCTCCTGCCGAAGCAGAAAATCGCGAAGCTTAGTCTGTCGGACAGTCACATCGCTGGTGCTGCTGCTGGTGCTGCTGCTGCTGTGCTTGGCGTTGTATTTGCATACGGCAGGGAGGAGAATACAGCTTGTTTCGCCGTGAGGGACACCAAAGGGGCCGAGCTATTCATCACGTAGTCGTTAGTATATATACATGTACCCTGTTAGAAAAAAGATACATAAGAAAATGAATGGGGGTCATACCTGATGTCCAATCCCATGACTCGCCCCCAAAGGTAACCCGGCCGAACAAGCAGCCATAGCATCCACACTGCCCAAGGCACAATCCAACCTCGCTGCCTTCCCTCCATCATCATCACCATCTTCTTCTTCTCCATCTATCCCCCCCTCCTTATTATCTAATCTTCTACACCTCACCAACCCCGGAACTAACAACCCCAACGCATGCAACGCCAATCGATCCGTCTCCTCCGTAACCCCATCTTTACTTCCCACCCCGGAGGAAAGATACGTCTCGACGCAGTGATCCACCGCCCGGATGCCCGTCCCTAGCCAGATCCGCTCGGGAGTGGTGGCAGTCAGCTCCGGGTCAAGTATCACAAGCTGCGGGCCGCGGATCGGTGCCCCGAAGGAGTATTTCCGCCGGGAAGTGTCGTGGGTGGCGCCCGCGAAGGAGGAGTATTCGCCTGCGGAGAGGGAGGTGGGGATGGAAATGATTGGGATGGAGGGGGGTTTGATGGGTGGGTTTGGGGTCGGTGGTTCGGTGGTTAAGGTGAGGAGGGTGTCGGGGGTGGTGGTGTTGTTGGTTATTGCCTATAGTTTGCCAATTTCTTTTGGTTAGTATATGTGTTAGGGAAGGAGAAAGGGGGGCCGGGTAGGGAAGGTATATTACCAGCGCAACCACCTTCGCGGCATCTGTTAGACTTCCCCCGCCGAGGGTGATCAGGAGATCTACTTCCGCGGCTTGGGCGTCGCGGACGACTTCTAGTACTTCGGACCACAGCGTGTGGCTTTGCATGCCGATGCGGGTTCCTGCAATCTTGTTCGGTCCTAGGGCGCGGGTGAGACGGTCGAGGGCGTCGGTGTTGTGGGCGAGGGAGGCGGAGCAGAGGATGTAGATCTTGGAGGCGTGGAAGAGGTCGGTGATGTGGCGGGCTGCTGCGGTGGGAAAAGGGATGCCGTAGGAGAGGAGAGGCCGGGGTCGGTCGGCGAAGGCTGGACGGAGGGTTTCTGTCATTTTGAGAGGGGGATAATGGAGGATTGTATACTGGGTTAATGGAAGTGAGAAAATGGATGTTGGTCGCGAGGGGAAAATTGGAGTATTGGAGGGACAAGAGTGACGCTTATATACACAGTGTGAAGAGATTGGATGTGGGATCTGCCTGTCAGCAGACTACAAATGGCCCCAATCATGGGTGATGTACTCTGAAAATAGCTGGGATGTATACACAAGACTAGAAGATGAGGTGGAATTACTTGCTTCCCTCAGAGACCCGCGAGTATGTGGGATGTGGGGCCCAGCGGGGCGGAGCGGAGGTGATGTCATGTAGGATTCATGCAGGGATCGCTTCATGATTTCAACTTGGTTTATAGTTCAATCAATCAACCATTCATTCACTACGACGGTCCAACTCCCTAACGCCTCCAAAGCCAGCAAGATATCCTCCCGTCCGCATTAGTACATATTAAGACATCCTTCCCATCTACGCCGTCCGCTCGTCTTCGTCCACTGCAGCCCGCAATTCCCATACAATGTCGTAGCATTCCGCCAGCAACGCGTTCACGCTGCCCTGGCCTTCGGGGATGTCGGTGCCCACGTAGAACTTGCCGTCCACGCGCATGTTGTCAATCGAGTTGAGCTATTGCATTGTCGTTAGCACCTGCCAACTCTCATCTGCGAAAGCAGCACCTACCTTCATGCTGTACGGATAGAGCTCGCGCGAGTTCGATACGCCCCCTGACTCCTGCACCTCCAGTAGGCATTTGCGCAGCGTCTGTAGCTGGTTGTACACTGGCAACAGCGCCTCCGACACCGGCTCCGAGGAGATCAGCAGCGCATAGATGTACCCGTAACTACGCCGGATCAGGTACAGTAATGTCTACACCCAAGTTAGCATGAACCATAAAAGCCCCGATGCGACTTACCCTCTGCGCATGAATGTCTGCTGTGTTGCCTTCCGCATCCACAAAGTTGCCGTTCACCCGTGCCTCATCAATCCGGTCGAGCTTGCGCTGGTAGCCAAACAAGTCCGTCTCGCGAAGCGACCATGCCTGTGTCACAGCCAGGCGGTCTAGCTGGTTGCGGATCTCGATCAATTTGTCGTACTGTTCCTTGAACCTTTCGTCGATCTTTCCTTGTCTGCGACAAATCAGCACAGGATTCTATTGTGTCGCCATCCATACATACCGCTCCAGCACAATCTCCGTCCAGAGCCAACACCTTTCCATCAGCAGCTTGACGTCTTCCTGAGCACCGGAAAGCGGCACCCCTTCAGCATCCACGAATTGTCCGTCCTTCATGCCCTCCTCAATCTTCTTCAGTTGGGTCCGAAGCGCGGTGACCTCGGAGGATGAAAACTACCAATGTCAGTTTGCACACTTCCGATCGACAAGGGTAGACTACCTTAGAGCGGGTGTTCACGGCCGATGTCGATCGCAATATAGACACGAGCGTCTCATGTGTAGCCGCCAGTTCCGGACCCAGCTTAGCCAGACCACTCTGCAATTTCTCCAACAACAGCTGACATTTCTCCAGACGACTCTCGAGCAGGGTGATAAGGGCAGGGGAGTAAGCTTGGCGGCATCGCTCGAGGGTATCGTTCATGTTCGCAAGGGTCTTGGTGATGGAGATCAGGTCTTTGGAACTGTAGAAGCCGGCCTCTTCCAGGTGGTCGAGTAGACGCTGAACGGTTAGTAGGGGGTAGTATCGCAGAGACGGTCACGCATACCTGAACAGTCGTCGCAAGAGAGTACCTATATTACAGCGACGAACATGTTAGTATAGTTCACTTTTAACCTCACACCAGACAGAAGGAACATACACAGCAGGAGCTTCATTGTTGCGACCAACGGTCAGGAATAGCAGCGAAATGAGTTGGAAGCAATCGTCAAGAACATAGTCCACTAGAACATCGCACAAGTCAGCATTCCTATGGTCACCATCATCCATACACAGGCCCACTCAGTGCTAACGTCGATTATGTGCCCGCCGGCGATCCTGTTCCTTGCGCGCGGCATTGAGCTTTTCTACCTCGGCAACCACCTCTTCATAGAGAGGAAGAACATCGCGAGATTTGATATATGAAGACTTGTCTTGTTTAAGCAAGATGAGAGCATCGCGAGTGCGCAACAGACGCTCAAGGATTGGCTGCTCTTTCGGGTCCAGCGGGGCGGGGATAGCGGGGGAGTCCATGCTGCTGGAGAGAGAGGGGAGGGAGGGGAGGGGAGGAGAGGGGAAGAAGATAGATAACGAAGTAATGGAATCGGGGACGCAGATGCGGATTGCACGGAATTCAAAGAGATATCCCAGTTGATTCTTAATCAGCGACACAACAGCCAAGCCAGGTAGACAGGATCTAATAAGAGATACATCCGCATTGAAGTAAAGTCCACGGGCGGGAAAGCAACGTGAAGCCCATCAGGCGATGATGGCATTGCCAAGCTATCTGGCCCGAAGCGGGATAGCGCCTAGTCACGGGCGAGGGGTGCTAACACTAAGCCCAAACGGGAGCAGCCCTAAGCGAGGGCTTCTGCGGTGCTCAACACACAACTTCCGTTCGGGGCAAGCGTTAGTCACTCACCGTCCGACTCCCCTTCTCGACCAGGCCGTTACAAAAAAGTCTCCCGTCCTTCTCTTCCTCTTTTTATCCCCATCCCTCTCGAGACTCCAGTCCAGTCCAACCCCCCCGTCGACCACCATGTCTACTGCCGAGCTCGCTTGCTCCTACGCCGCCCTCATCCTCGCGGATGACGGCATCGAGGTCACCGTACGTATTGACCCTTGATTTCAACCCGGGCATTGGAATGGCAGGCAAGGATGGGACATAGTGCTAGGAAAGAGCAGGAAAAATATGAAAGTGTCGCGAAAAGAGATGGATCAGGACGATACCAAGGAATCGGAACATGCACAAAATGCCGGGTTGGAAAATTCAAGGTTATAAGATCAAAATTGGACTAATATTGGAATTTCTTTAATACAGGCCGACAAGCTCCAGACTCTCCTGTCTGCCGCCAAGGTTCAGGAGGTTGAGCCCATCTGGACTTCCATCTTCGCCAAGGTAAATTAAATCCGTCCAACCTTCGCAACACATCTCAGTTTCCATCATCGCATGCGATTCGCGATTCAACCCGACTATCCACCATCACCATCTGGAATCAAACACAAAGACTTACACGTCGGTTTATCAATAGGCTCTCGAGGGCAAGGACATCAAGGAGCTCCTGACCAACGTCGGCTCCGCTGGCCCTGCCGCCCCCGCTGCTGCTGCCGGTGGCGCTGCTGCCCCCGCCGAGGCTGCCGCCGCTGAGGAGAAGAAGGAAGAAGGTACGGAACATACTACAACATTTCAATTGTCATGGCGATTGCAATGGCAGGGCATCATAGGAATCGGAACATTTGGGCTAACTTCTATACAGAGAAGGAGGAGTCCGACGAGGACATGGGCTTCGGTCTTTTCGACTAAGCGTCTTCAACCGTTCGGGTTTCCTAATTTTTCCTTTTCTATCTCGTTTCCTTACTACCTCCTTTTCGCCCCCTCGCATTTCTTGTACCTGATACTACGCGACCGCACGAAGACCAAAAAGGGAAAATTAAAAGAAAGAATGAACGGACAAGGACATCCGGTGGGACTGGGCGCTCTGCTCGCATGATAGGCTCCGTCGTGAAGAAATTAAGAACCAGAAATGTGTCTCTTACGTAGTACTACTTTCTGGAGGGAAAACCGCGATGCCCTTGCGATTCCGGTTTTTCCTGGGGGGGCGGAAGAGGTTCGGCTTCGGCTCCTCTTGTGTCTCTGATGTTGTGTGCTTGTTGCTACTATGCTATATGGCGTGTTCTTTCGAGCTTAGGTGCCCCAGCTCTCATGCAATGTCTGTCATGCGACCATGAGCAAAACCTCGTTCCCACTGTTTCCATATGTTCTGTAGATCTAGATGTAGACACCAGTAGTTCGTATGATTATAGTATACTATAGTACTATATATACTATACTCCGCCTGCCCTGTGCACCAAACTTCCCCATACAACAAATATCCCGCCAATCGATGTACATCAACATCAGCAAATCAATATCCATAAGTATCGATAACAACAACAGTAATCCCCACTCCGCAATGCAAGATCAAGATCGAGATAAAGAACTTTTAGACACCGCCAGCCCATACAGTACAACCAACCAATAATACAACCCCAGACAATAAAGTACTAGCTAGACACGCTAAACCATCAGCAGCATAGAACCAAGACAACCTTACAAACAGCACACAAACACACAATACAAAATTAATGTGCAACAGACGCGCTAAACAGCAGCCGTGTCCTGGTCGCGTGTCGCGTAGAGTCGGAACTGCACGAAGATGGTCACGTCCTCGACCATGGTGCCGAGGGAGCCAATCAGCCATGGGACATTGGTCACAATATAGTTCCTTTCTGTGGAGTGGCAGATGATCTATAAGAAGTTTTTTATTTAGTCTGGGTTTATGTAAATCATGGGAATTGTGATAGATAGGTAGACTTACGCCTGCGCCGTAGGTGAGGTTTCCCATAAGAGAGAGGATGAAGAACAGTAGCGAGAGTCCTATACTCATATGTTAGCTCCAACCACATTACCCCAATCAAAAAGGGATATACATACCCTCGCACGACTTATCGCAGTAGTTCTTGTAGATCTGTGGAAGTCGCGCCCTATATCCAGATTAGCACCAGCACCATCACTCTCCCCATTAAAGCATAGAAAACAAGCATACCCAAGATAACAAACCGCACTGATATACCCCAACACCATTGCCCCAGGCGCCATATCCACGCCTCCCAGCCCCTCCTCTACTGGCGCGGGCTTCCACACGCCCGTCCGCCACGCAACCGTCCACCCTGCCATTCCAATAACGCAGATGCCCAGCACACTGCTAAAATTCTTCACCCACGCCTTGCGCCCCACATCATTCTCCTCAACAATCTTAGCCAGCATATCATCACTGCTGCTTTCCGCGCGGCGCGTCGAGTTCCTAGGGTTGTCCAGAGTTTCGCCTGTCTGCGCATACGCATCACTGAACCGCCGGCCCAGCAGCGGCGTCGTAGGATCGGGCGTGCTTGGCTCGAACACGGAAGAGGAAGTGCGGCGGCGGGGGCGCGGCTGCCGAGAGTTCCGCGCCTTGTAGTAGAGACATTGTCCGATGAGGACCCCGTCCGCGATGCAGAAGTACACGGCGATGGCGACAATTACGGGCACGAGACCTGCCCAGGCGCCTCCGATTAGGTTGGTGATGTCGCCGAGGAACCAGACGAAGAGGAAGAGGAGGGAAATAGCTTCGGCGTTGCCGTTGCGGTAGTTTTCGATTAGTTGGGGGACCTGAAAGTCTCGTCAGTATGGTTTGATTGTAGTATGGGGAGAGAATAGAGGATTAGAGGGCTTACGAGGAGAAAGATCCAGCAGGTGAGTGATATCGAACCCAGCAAGCCAGAGGCTGCTTCGCGAGAAGTGAGAGGGACAGAGTCGGCATTGGTAGCTGTCCAGAGAGCCGCCATCTTGATTTGAGGTATTGGGGGCAGTGAGGTGCAAGAGTTGTTGCTAGAGTTTGGAGGGAAACTCTTGCGGACTGCTCGACTCAATCAATGACGGGCAGAGATAAGGAACCCTCCTATGATAAAGCGGTTTTATTGAGAAAATCCCTTGCCGTTCGGGCGCATAGGGTCGCGATAAGAGCGGATAGTGAAAAATGAAGGGTCAGCTGCTCGATTCGGAGGAATCTGGTGGTTGAAGAAATTTTTCATGGAATGTGTAGGAGGGAAGCACGAAGGAATGAAGCTATTAAAATGGCGACAATTGAGTCACTTGGGGACTGAATAGATTGGCGCATGGTTGCGGGTGGAGCCGGTCAGGAATGCTTTTGACTAAGCTGTCTGTCTTCGTGGTGTCATTCATTTAGCTTCATCCTATCCCTTATCAGCTTGTCAAGTTCCCCCATGATAATTACCATTGCTTTGGATGTGGATAGAACTGTTTGGGTACATGTAGGTGAGTATCTCTAGAAATGGAATGGATGCATCTAAGCCGCATAGCCATTGGTAACGTCGTATTGTGCAGGGGTCCCTTGCGAAGCAAGCCATATAGTACTACTTACTGCTACTAGTATTCTGAAATATACACTTTGTTTTACTGGGTCGCGAAAGCAGCAACATCACGATCGATAAATTGTAGTTACAGTAGATCAAGTTATCTGTCTTTATTAATATCTTTCTTGTGATATTGAGGAATTCTGATCAACAACCATCTATATTCTAATCTGTCTACTAAGCCCATCTGAATGCCCATGCAGCAAATACTTTTCCTTAAATGTTGTATAGGTTACACGCGATAATTCACCCTGGGTATCAAGCTTCTTCCTCGTCGTACTGAAGCAGCTGGAGCTCGTCCTCCAGCATGGAAACCACCATGTCTCCCATCGCCTCCCGAATTGGTCCATGCAGCAAGCGCTCGCGCTCCGACTCTGGCTGAACCAGTTCCAAGCCATCCACATACTCCGTCAGCGGGGAATAGTCGAGCACTTCGCCCCAGTTTCCCCGGTCAACTCCATACTGCTGAAGAAACGCTTCCAGCGTGTGCATCCCGTCGTTCAACAGCCACTGTTCGAGAACGGGTTGCTGATCGGCGCTGGGGTGGGCCGGCGCACGGTTGTCCTCAGCTTCGGTCTCCGATGGAACGTCATCTTCGTGTACTTCCTCTCCATCACGCTGGAACCTAGGGAAATGAATAGCTCCGTTGTTCAGCTGATCAAGCAGGTCTCGCAGCCATTGTGGCCGCCCTACATCTGGTACCTGCGACAAGTAGGATGGCGTGGGGTCGGACTGCTGACGATAGGCTTCCGACTCGTACGGAGGAAGGGGATCGGATGCGGAGAGGCGTCCAGCGACGAAGCGGTTTGGCAGGTGCGTCGTGACCCGAGGGATATCGGACAGTACGACATGGCGTGCGATATCCAGCGAGATCTCTGGCGGTTCAACGGGCTCTTCCTCGTCAGGAAGCGTGTCGGCCACTTCTACGATCAGAGAAACCGCTTCGGGAGTGTTCCAGAGGTCCTTGGCACGGCTAATATAGAGTTCGGTAAAGAGTTCATGGGCGTCTGTGGGTGGCATCTTGCCCCAGATCCTCTTGGGCATGGGCTGGATGTCGAGCTCTTGCGCCATCTTGCAGAACACCCACGGGTAGCGCGACATGGCTCGACGCAGCTGCTCGCGGCATTCCTTCGGTTTGTTAAGTCGTAGATAGGCCAGTGCGAGTGAGCACTGGATGTTGGGAAGAGCCTCCCACTCCTTGCTCAGACGCGTCTGTGTGCACAAATCCACGAAATGGGCATATTCTCGGCCTCGCAGGGCCAAGTGATCGATAAGAAGCCGGATGCAGTATGGGTCAGTCTCATTGAGACTCAACAGTAGCTTCGCCCACTCATACGCCGTCCGCCAAGTACCCTTCATGCCCAGGTTAGCGATGTACCTCCACCCAACCAGCCACAGCTCGCGGTTTTCCATATGCACAAAGTCAAGTTTTGCCTGGCCTTGCTTAACGAGATTGCTGAAAGACGAATGGGCTGAACGACCGATATTGAATAGTGCGCGCTCGAGTAGGTCAGCCGAGACCGCATGATCACCCTGATGCTTTGCTATTTCAGACACCTGTAGGAGGGTAGAGATGTGGTATGGATTGTATTGTAAGAGGTGGATCATTCTTTGGGGATCCATTGACTCCACGCACATATCGAACTGCCTCTGCACGTCCGTATATGAAGAATTGTGCACAATCTTGTACATAGTAGAGCCATTTTGGAGCTTTTCGACCAGCTCCATTCCAAGGCCACCACTGGGAGACCGAGGCCACTCATCTCTGCCCTGCATGAGAACATTCCGCCGCTGCGTCACGCCTGCCAGACTCTGACCCCTACTGGCAGGACTGTACCGACCTGTCAATGCCTGCCCTAAGTCAAGCGTCTCCCGGCCTCTATCTCTCCTGCGACCTGATCCAGTATCTTGATCGAAGTTTTCCAACACGACATTTCCAAATAATTTGCGCATCTCGTTCGTCGCATTCAGGCATCTAGGATCAATGGCGAGAAGTGCTTCCGGTGTTTTCGGGAATCCAGCATCGCGGTCTTCTGCGGCGGCTGAACCACCAGAGTGTGCGGGGTGTTTAGGGTTGACGGCCAAGTCTTTCAGCGCTTTGTCAATATCATCGAGTCCTGTAGCCTCGGGAGAAGCAGCATGAGCCCCTGATTTAGCCCCCGCCTTCTTCTTTTTCTTGTTCTTTTTATTTTTCTTTCCCGGGGCTGCGGGCTTAGGTGCAGGTGCAGGTGCAGGAACCTCCTCCTTAGGTTGAGTCACCGGCTCAGGTTCCTCGATCTCGGCTTCAATCTCGGACTCCTGCTCATCTTCGTCGTCGTCGTCCACCGAGTTCAACAAATCAAATGCATTGAGCTTCGGCTTCGACGGCCGGACCACCGGCTCTTCATCGCTCGAGTCATCATTCTCTTGTTCGAGTTGTGCCAGCTGCAGCTCTTGTTCGCGCTGCTTTTGCAGCTTGCGGAGCGCACGGGAGGACATTCAGGAGTCGACAATATATTCGAATCTGTAGAAGCAGTCGAGAGTGATCTGATATCACTAGGCGCAATGGGCCACACACGCAGACAGCGACGCGGAAAAGATATTGACAGGAAAGCCCAAGAGTCAAAGAACAAAAGAATATGATTGAATCGGGCAGTCCCGCGGGGAATGACGACACGGCCGAGACAGGCTTAGCGGGGTTCTGGGTCAGTTTTGCTTAAGCCCCTTTCGGAAGCCGCCGTATGTAAGGTCACAAACAATACATACACGGTATCACATGACGCAATGGCGGCGAGATCCCGTGGTTGAAAGTAGTTGCTTGCCTCCACCGCATCTCGTCTGTTTCTCACTTGCTTATCTTCTGCTTGCTTTTGTTGTTCTCCGAAACCAGAGACGGAGAGACGGAGAGTAGCCAAGACACTCCCGGCTCACATACAACCCTCTATCCGCCGGCCCAATGCGTCGTGCGGCTTTTCAAGCCCTTCGTACTGCCCGTCGCGTGCCAGCATGGAAGGTCACTGGTAGGAAACCGTGCGCCGTGTCCTTCTCCAGCAGTCGGAGTCTCGGTCTACGTGCTTCCTCCACGGGCAAACACCCCTCTTATCTCCCCGCCCCCCTCCAGTCGTCGATGCATCTTCGGAACTTCTCGATCGCTGTCATTTCGACCGCCGTCGCCTCGGGCGCCTGGTACGCTTATCAGGGCACCGGCCAGACATCGGCGGGTCTGAACCCAACCTCATCGCAACTCCGTTCGTATTCAACCGCTGGCGCACAAGCTGAAGCCCCTGCGGAGGCCACTCGACGTGCACTGCTGGTGGATAATGACCAGTTCTTTACCGCCCCTATCTCTGGAGATCAGCCATTGTCCAAGCACACAGACGATTCCGACCGTCGAGTTCTCGAAATGTTGACCCCAGAGCAAGCCACACAGAAGCTCAGGAAGAATGAGGAGTCATACCTGGTGAACCGGGGCAAGGGAGTGGTCCGCTACGATATTGTGCAGGTGCCCAGCAATTCTCCAATTGAGGATGATCATGCCGAAAAGATTATCGAGGTGCCGTCGTCCGTAGCGGCAGCCAATCAAGGCGAATCCAAGAGTGATTGGATGTTCTGGGCGGTGTTTGATGGTCATTCGTGCGTTTACAGAATTCTATACGATCAGGTTTCTTCCTCATACTAACCTATTGTTTCGCAGAGGCTGGACAACATCTGCCAAGTTGCGCAATGTTCTCATCTCCTACGTCGCTCGTGAATTGAACACCACCTACAAAGCCGCGGCTGCTGACCCCTCTCTGTTGACGCCCTCATCCGCTGCCATTGACGCCGCGATTAAGCAAGGGTTCACTCGTCTGGACGACGATATCGTGCACAGCAGCGTCGACAAGGTGCTCAAGTCCAACTCGCGCCGGGTCGCAGCCGAGATGCTTGCGCCTGCTCTTTCCGGATCTTGCGCCCTTCTTGCTTTCTACGACTCCCAATCTAAGGATTTGAAGGTCGCCTGCGCAGGTGACTCCAGAGCTGTTCTGGGTCGTCGTGCTGCGAACGGTAAATGGACCGCAACGCCTCTTTCTGAGGACCAGACTGGTGGAACTCCGTCTGAGATGAAGCGTCTACGGGAGGAGCATCCTGGAGAGCCTAACGTTGTGCGCAACGGACGGATTCTCGGACAGCTCGAGCCGAGTCGCTCTTTCGGAGATGCGTTCTACAAGTGGAGCAAGGATACTCAGGACAAGATCAAACGACAGTTCTTTGGTCGCACTCCCCATCCCCTGCTGAAGACCCCTCCCTACGTGACTGCCGAGCCAATTGTCACCACCACAAAGATGGAGCCCGGCAGCGGTGACTTCCTCGTCCTTGCAACCGACGGTCTCTGGGAGATGTTGAGCAATGAGGAAGTTGTCGGTCTTGTTGGCCAGTGGGTTGAGCAGCAACAGCAGCTCGGCGCCAGTGGCAGCAACAAGGCCTGGCTGAAGAGCTGGTTTAGCTTTGGCAACAAGTCTGAGCTGCCTGTTGAGGGGCCCAAGGCGACCGACGCTGAAGGCCAACGTCGTCCTATCCGCCAGCAGCAATACGACATCGCTGGAGCAGCCACCCGCTTCACTGTTGAAGATCAAAACGCCGCGACTCACCTTGTGCGCAATGCCATGGGTGGAAAGGACAAGGAGATGGTCTCCGCCTTGCTGACTCTTCCCAGTCCTTATTCCCGCAGATACCGGTATGCTT